AGTTTGGTATAGATCGCGTAGTGATTGGAGTCAGGTTCCAGCGTGAGAGATAAGCGATGAGCGCAACACTAGTATATTAACTGCAGGGAATTGTAGAGTCATTCAGCCTTGCGAGGGACCCTAGGGACGTAAGGGTGCGCAGAGGGGGGATGAATTCTAGATCGTGAGCGAGTTATTCGCTAAATGGTCATGGATTCGCGGGATCTTAAGAAATAAAGACCAAGCTTAGGGAGCGGAAATTACATTTCGCAGCCATTTTGTTTTGTTAATCACAGGAACAGATGTAGACATTGCGGCGGCTATGTTGTAACGGAAGACGTCCTTTGGGCAATGGAAGTGAAAGTAACGAAAGGTAATAGGACAAGTCGCCAAGGAAAAGTGAAGCTTGGAGATATATGCATATTAGTAGGTAGAAGGGGAAATTAGACCATGAAGTAATCATAGTATTGTTTATACTATAGAATATGTTATATTCGATAGATATGAAGAAGGACATAGACCCCTGCAGGTGATGATCGAGGCTACAGATTGTTCTGTCATATTTACATTTCTCTATACAAAAGGTCCGCAATGAAGCGTCTGAATTCATAGTGTATATACATCGACCAAATTGCTAGAAGTATTAATTGGTTGTCTCGCACTTTTGTCTGACTAACTCGTAGATATGGTCACTCAAACGTGGCAAACCCGCACCATTGCACAACCTATACATGTTATTTGGCTCATACGAACCAGGAATAATCTTACCTTCTTCATTCACATGAACATATCCAAATATGTTGTCGACCTCAGGAACACGACTATAGCTTGGAATTTCCCTAAAGTCATATATGGGCATATAAGAATTGGCAAATGTGCCTGCCTCAACGATGAATGCAAAGTCGTTGTGGACATCCAGGGCAATATTTGAGTGAAGGACCGATAAAAACTCGTCATTATCCTCAAAGTTTGTTGTATTGACGTTTTCGTTTTTACTGTAGCCAAGGGGCAAAGCCTTTTCCTTTGGCGATAACGATACCTTAAATTTGCTGTTGGCGATGGGATGGATAAATATCTGATCGTTATTGGCATCTTTGGTATAAAATCTGTGCCATTGAACGGCTCGAGATGCCAAAGGCATTTGTGTTAGACGTATACCACATGCTGTTCTATTGATTGCTCTTAACATATTGTAGCTACTATAAGTTATCATCTTGACTAGAACTTTTTACATTTTTCAAATAACGACCCGCTTAATACATATGTGCAGGATATATATATATATGGATATATTATATGAATGTACTACCTTATTACTATAGACAACTGTGTCTAGAGACAATTGATTAACAAGCAATCCCTAAGGAATAATGTGATAATTTGGATTAATTGAAATAGTCCTTGTGGTAACGTTTCACAATCGAAAAGTGATGCCAAAAAACATCCAACAAACCCAAAATACAGTACTACATCCTAAACTACAATCCCAAATAGCCTCCGTTTATAATAAGTCTATATGATATACGAAGTATCAACCTAACATGCTTCTCTTTCTTCCTCTTAATCTTACGTCATCTAATTTCTTCAACACTTCTACTAATTTCTTTTGGCCTTGTTTGCCAAATTCCTTATGCTTATGGACATCCTCGTATCCTTGTAACAACCATTGGTTATACTTTTTAGCATATACAGAATGCGTACTGGTTATTGCTCTCTCTAAAACATATAGATCAACGGCTCTATCTTCTGCTAATCCCGAATATGATGACAATCCAAAGTCGATTAATACTGGTTCATCATTATCCAATAATATATTCGACGACGTCAAATCTCCGTGTATCATTTCATGTAAGTGTAGTTTTCCAATTAACTGGCCCACTTTGAAGCACATCTTCTCGACAGACTCACTTGTGCAATCTTGATTATTCCTTTCAAGATACCATAACCAGTTCTTGAAAGAGCTCACGTCTCCATTGGGTAAGTTGTCTCCTATGTATTCCATCCAAATTATGCCGTTATTGTAATCAGCCAGAATTATTCTTGGGGAATTTATATTCAACTTGTTTAACTTATACATGAACTTTACTTCTCCCACAGTACGAGATTTGGTAATGCTGCTGTCCACCTTAGGGTGTCTATATGGTTTGGATGGTCTATATTTGATAACGTATTTTCCACGGTTTTGTAAATATGATTCATTAGCATATGGATGGACATCAGTATAGAAAACTAATGCTTCTGCTCCTTGGGATATAACTGTTAATGGGATATTTGGTAAGCATTCTTGTGCTTTCTTCACTATATGATCCGTCATAGCACGTCGTCCCCCACTTGTAGTACGTATATTTCTCTTGAAAATCGTACCGAAAATTTTAGTGATTTCAATCTCAAAGTGAGAATTACATATTCTCAATCATTTCTCCTTACACAGATATTGAAAGGTCCCACTAATAACTAGAGATATACGATGGATTCATCTGATTTAGCGTATATAATACCACCATACTTACTAAACACATGCTTGGGCTCTAAACTACAGAAAATAATTGCTTCCAAGGATCCACAATTGAGTCTTTCCAATGTGATCTCTACCAAGTCTTTTAGTTATTCTAAGAAGTACAATGATAAAAAAATTCCCAAGTACCAATATTCATCGGATCCAATTGTAAACCAATTAATTAAAGAAAAATTAGTGTATAAGTTGTCCATTATTGGAGTGTTAGGATCAAACCCCATGGAGAACCCGATTGATGACGCATATCTTTTTGAGTTATTTGAAATGTTTAAGCATAGATTATTGCATGATGACACTGTTGATAATAGAAACGATGATGCAGGATATGAATCTACTTCAAAATCAAGAAAATCTGTTTTCGATTCATCAACAGTTGGTGAAACCAATTTTTTGTTTTCGTCAAATAAACGATTGAGCAAAGATTACACCAATTTCCCCAACAACACGTTGAGGCACTTATTGTTGACTTCAAAATTTGATACTTATCATCAATACAGAGTTCCACCTAGCTTTGTGAAGTTTAGTGACGGACAATTCTTTAAATACCCTTTGCCGTTAACATGGTCTCCGCTAGTACCTAACAATTATTTGCGTTATTTGCAAGATGATTTGAATTTGAAGATAAGCAGTGAAGATGGATACTCAACTATTTCGTTATCAACGCTCACCACTGATGATCTGTTGTCAATTGAAAGCGTGAATGAATTAATCCCTAAAAAAAAATACTACAATTTTATTTGTGATAAGCCGGTTTCTCCTGCAATTGGAGTATTTTATTATGAAATGGAAGTGAATCAAGAATGTACGGAATCCACAAACTTCTTACCTATTCTACAAACCAACGACTCCTCGATTTCATCAACTATAGTTATGAATATATGCATGGGTTTTACCAGGCAATGTGTGAACTATGAATCTACCTCAGAATCAGCTGGATCGACAGCCAAGGATTATTTGAATTTGGATAATGTAAAGGATGATATTTTAATTAATGACGAAAATTCCCTTCTTAATTCCCTGCTAAATGAGGACGTTCGAGAAATGATTTGCTGTCAACCCGGAGAGTTTAGAGGAAGCTTTGCAGTTAACTTTGAAGATCTGTCATTTTATAACTCCATTAAAATTTCAGAGGCAACTAGTAGACATGCAGCCTTAAGCATGAATAGAAGGTTATCATCTTTGAATAGACAGAACGCGGATGACGATAATGGTAAGATTGATATGGGAATTCCGTTTAATACTTACATGTACAACGAAACACCAGCTAAAAAATCATACAAGACCGATGTAATAGGTTGTGGAATCAATTTTATTAACAAATCTGTATTCTTCACATTAAATGGGGTTTTAGTGAAGACAATTTCTAATGATGACTTAGCATCCAAGCAAATGTTAAATGATCATGTAAATTTATTTGCTGATTATAATCAAGACGAAAACAGTGCAATTTGTCCCATCCTTGGTTTTAAGGTTCAAGATTTGAAAGAGAAAAATACCAAATTTGATCCGACAACTTTAAAAATTAAGACAAATTTAGGATTCAAGGAGTTCAAATTCAATATTGAAAACTACGTTACTGAATTTCGTAACGATAATCAAAAGTTCATGTATTTATCCTTACTTGATAAAATACAAAACATAAAGTCTTCCAACATTGAGGTCGATCACATCGAAAAGTCATTGTTGAATATCGATGATGATTCTAAATTTGTCAACAAGTTAATTAAAGGATATCTTAATCATGAAGGATATTTAGAAACGTTTAATTCATTCAGTTCGGATTTAAATAATTTATCAACTGAAATCAGTACAAAACAGAATTTAGATGAAGAAGCTGATTCGATAGTCTTGAAAAAATCCCACGCTTTAAACAGACAAATTATCAAAAATTACATTTTAAAGAACCAATTTGATCTTGCACTTAAGTTTATAACTATGAATTATGCGGATTTATTTGCCCTTGATAAAGGCAAAGATATAATATTTGAAGTCAAAAAGTTTCAATTTGTCTATCTCTTGAAAAAATACCTTGAGGTGAAATTAAATCTAAATAACTACGAGTTTGAATTCGAGTTTAATAATAGTGAAAGTGAACTGGAATTATTTAACAAGGCATATGAATATGGAAAATTATTACAAGAGGAATATCAAAGTGATGGCGAGAAATTAAGATCAATTCAAGAAATATCATCGGCGTTTATTGTTAATAATCAAGAATCTTTGAGGAATTTACCGAAGGTTGATAATTTGCTTTCTAATTATTTAAAAGGCTTATCGTATCTATCAAATGAAATTAACAATAAGATATTAGATCATTTAGGATTGAATAAAAGCTCAAATTTGGAACAAATATTCAATCATGTGGATGATAGGATTAATAACTTAAGTTTGAAATATAACGACGAAAAATTTATGCTAGTAAATCTTGAAAGAGATCATATGGATATATAAACTTGAAAGCAGGTCTATTCATTTATATAGATACATAGAAATAATCTCAACACTTTTACTTCTTCTGTTTCTTAAGGATTGGCTGGTCGACATCCTCCTCCTCCGTATCTTTACTTATCTTCTTTTCATCTTCCTTACTATTATAAATAAATTTAGCCAAATTCCTGTCGTCAACTTCAAATGGAACCTTTATATCTGCCAAAATATCAAATCTGTGAATATCATACATTTTCAAGCTCCACCCACCCTTTTCTAGAATATCCATGTTAAGAAAGTCGTCTCTTTTGAAGCCAAATAAAATGTCAAAGTATGATTCCAATAATTCATCCACGTATTCTTTCACACTGTATTTTATTTTCGTATCAGGTCTAACTGGATCAATAACGTAGTACATGAAACTCTCATCGCTGAAAAATGGTGGAACTAAATATTTGTTAATTTTGCATAGTAAAGACAAAATTAAACTTGCTGTTGCAGGTCCAACACCTTTTAATTCACATACCTTCTTGAATGTTGATCTTATATTAGATTTATATTGCTTCCTTCTCTCTTTTGAATCATTCTTCCAAAAATCTTCAGCATTGGTTTCTTTAATATAATCAAGAAACATAGTAAACCCTGCTTTCGTTATTTCTTCCACTTGATCTGGAGGGTTTGACTTAATTAATTTAGGCAAGGAGGGTCTAAATACACCTTTTGCAAGTTTCCAATCCATTAACAACACCAATTCGTCTTTGGTTAGCCAACAATTGCTTTCTTTTTCGAATCGGTGATGCAATATGCTTGGTAGTTCATCTGTTCTCCATTTGTCGAGTTCAGCCAAAGTCAACTTATCATTATTATATTTTTTAACTGATTGATCAGATAGAGACTCTATTATTTTATCATAAAGTACCTCATTGGCCTCTAGTACGTGCTCTACATTTCCTGACATGATATAAGTCAAAAGATTACTTGATAATTGTAAGTGAATTTTTACTAGTTGCGCATTTATGCTATACTAATTTCTATTAATACTGTCTATATACAAGTACCTATTTTAGTTGGTATTGACAACTGATACGGGTTTACTGCTCTTTGACAGAGTCTTATAGCCAAATCTTTTATTTGGCGTGAAACTAATAGGAATCATCAAGTCCAAGATTATATTTTGAATTAATGAATAAACCTGTGAGCTTAGCCAATATAAGGTTAACGCAACAGGAGCATTCAACGAAATAGCCATCATAAATACAACAGACATCCTCGCTACACTGGACATCGAGTCTGTTAATGTAGGTCTTCCTAACCGTTTTCTAGTGAATCTCAGCAATTCTAACGTCTTGAAGGTCCACTCAACATTACATAACGATATCACACCAAGAACTAAAGGAAAAATATGCATGGGGTCAAGAGTAGTAAGGTCCGTAAACCAGAACAACCCTTCGGTATATAAGCTAGGGTCCAATGGCTTGTTTGCCAAACTGTCCCATGATGACCAACCACTCAAATCTCTCATTGTCCACGACATACAGACCCACAACGGAATTTGGAATGCTGGTAAAATAATGTTCTTCCACAATTGAACATCGTGTTTCTTGAATAATGCCTTTTGTCTTTTTCTAGTCTCTTTCGTTGCAAGCAAAAGAATTTCTTCATATTTCATAGTTGCCACGGGAGATTGCAAATTCACAACATTTTCTATACTCTGGTCCCTGGTTCCCGACCCCTGAATATTCCCCAATGATTTTTCGGCTTTCTGTTTAGCTGACTGCACTTTCTTCGCAAGATTCAATTTCAATACTGGATTCATAGCACTAACTATCGGCCTCAACTCTGTCTGTTTCTGAATACGTTTCCTTTGCATAATAGCCAAGGGTAAAGTCCATACTGACCTTAAAGCAAATGTTGTTACCGGTATCAAGGCCCACCAGGGGATCCCCGAATAGGCATGTACTGATTGTAAAGAATCAGTCAATGTAGAAATAATAGCATGGGGATCTACCGAAAACTGTCTAACCTGATTTCTATTATAAAAAATTCCTGAAGCCCGTAATCCTAACGGTAGCCTGGTCTTTATAAACATCCTCCCGGGTTTCAGTGGTAGGTGGTAAAGTTCTTCAATCTCTTCCAGTACTAATAGTTTTGTAAGTTAAAAAAATCCATCATGTGATCAAAGTTGGTTCAAATTTCAAAATGAATGTTTAAGTAGAGAAGTGACATTTGATTAACAAGAGTCACATAGATCAAAATGTCAGCAAGAAGTGAAAGAGCATGTATGTTATGTGGGATAATTCAACCATTTAGAAAGTTCGTTGATTTTGGATGTCCAAACTGTGAGAGTGTGTTACATTTTCAAGATAATGAAGATAATCAAGTTCAAGATTGCACATCACCGTCGTTCGAAGGTTTGGTGGCATTAGGAGATGATAACAAAAAGTCCTGGGTGGCGAGATGGCTCAGAATTGATTCATTTGTCGCTGGATTATACGCTGTCAAAATAAATGGTAAATTACCACCTCATATTATTGGTGATTTGGCCGATCAAAATATTAGTTATAGACCTAGAGATGGAAGTGCTGAGGATTAAGTTCTTCTACTACATTAAAAAAAACCTTAAATTGCTTACTTGTACTATATGTTAATATATTTTAGTTCTTTTGATTATATATGTTTCCAATTAAATAGTTAAAATATATAAAGTTCACTATTTTATATCTAGTGCCCATTAGACATTAATTGACTAAGAATCTTCGCACTTTCGATCAATTTGCTTACTGTGTTAGCTTTATCCCAGGTGCTTCTGTCAGCCCAAATAATATCCATAAATCTGGCCATTGCGACCTCCAAGTTTTCAATATTATAATTTTCTGTTAGCTCAGGCAATATCTGGTTGAAGAAGGCATCCGCTTCATTAGGGATAATTACTTCCTTGGATAAATCTACGAGTAATTCTTCTTCAGGTTCAGATTCGTCTTCAGGTTCCAATTGTTCTTTGGTTTCATTATCAGAGACGTGAGATATTTCTCCGTCGCCCATTTCATTTTGATCATGAGCAGTAGGCTGCACATGTTTTTCATCCACATTTGTATTATTGTCCTTTATTTGAAGACTATCACCATCTGGTATTATTTCTGTGTTAGCACTTCCATCTAAAATTTGTCCGTTATCAACTGTATCCACATCCATAGGCGCGGTTTCGGTAGAGCCTTCTTCATTGTTTCCGCCATTCAAATTAGTTAAATCCTGAATATTTTCAAGCTGCTTTTTCCTAAACTCAGCTTCTAGCCTTTGATGTTCTTTAAGAATATTCGCTTGTTTCTCTACTTCTCTGCTTCTCATTTCTTTACAAGATTTAACAAATTCCGGATTGCAAAAGTCATCGATACCAAATTGAGCATTAGTCAACATTTCGTTTGCTTTCAATATTCTTTCTCTATCTCCAGAAGTTATTGAATCTCTGACAATCATCTTAATATCTTTTAAAAATTGCTTAGGTTCAGAGTAATAACCATTCCAAAGTCTTTCTTCTATGATATCCAAATCCATGTTATAGTAATATTTTCCCGTCGAAATTTCCTTAATCATATTTTCCTTATCTGGATCTTCAGATCTAACATACAAAACTTCATAGTTGTTCAACGGATTCTGCAAGATAGTAGGCTCAAATAAGTGGTATAGTAAAACTTCATCCACCACTGGTTTCCTGAATCGCTTATAGCGATTTTTGAATAAGTCCATCAACCCTGCTAACTTAATTTTCAATATGTTCTTTAACTTGGTATCATCATACTCAATTTGCTTTAGTTTCTTCTTAGTAAGAACGTCATCATTTTCGTTTTTGATGGAAGGAACAACCTTTAATGTCTTCAACTTTCTCTTTGGTCTATTCTCTAAATCATTGACAAATTCATATGGCTTCATTAATAAAGTATTTTTCAATGCATTGAAATATTTTGATCTCTCCTTAGTTGAAGGGTTATTCAATGTTACGTTATTAGCAGAATGATTGAACCCGAATATTGATTTAATTTCTGGGTCCAAGTTATCCATATTTGTCTCAGAGATTGCCAATAATAAAACCTTTTCATTACTCTTAAGGGACCTCAATAACCCAGTCAATGTCGCTTGAGCAGTAAAAGGAACCACCTTAAACCATATATCAATATTTGGAATGAATACTATAGATGGTTGGTGTCTTCTGGCTTCAATGAATGCTTGAACAATGCTCAGTTCTGGAGTTCTAGTTGGATCTCCAAACATGTTGCCCATATCAAGAGATTGTACTTGAAACCCTTCCAAGTAATTTAATATAGCGGCACTAATATATTGCTGGCCACTTCCTTGATTTCCACAAATTAGCAAATGCGGTTTGCAAATACGTGAATTCTCTAAATTCTTCAATAATTCTTGTTTCGAAAACCCTCCATCGCTATCTTTAACAGTAGGATCTAAATACATGGCCTCATCTAGAGTGGTAACCTTTCTCTTATTTCCCACTGAAATTGAATTAGGAAGTAAATCATTTAGTTTATCGGTGATTTCTGCGAGTGGGATTTCTAGGAGAGGTTTTAAATGATTTGGTAATGGTGCAGAGCCCGAAGACGTTGATCTAGCACTTGAAGGAACAATCTTTTCGATTGCTTGCATAAAATCTTTTGCGACAACTTTAATCTTAGAAGGATCTACTTGTAATTTATCATTTGTCTTATAAATTTGAGGATACTTTCTTTGGATACTATTCAAAGCTGCTTCCGTACAAAGGGCTCGTAAATCTGCTCCTCCATATCCCTTCGTTAATTCGGCGACTTTATTCGTGAATTCTTCAGGTAAAGCTGGAGACCATTTTCTTGTATGAATTTGCAAAATTTCTTTTCTTGCGTTTATATCTGGCAACGGAAAGTAAAATTCCCTGTCAAATCTCCCTGGTCTTCTCAAGGCTGGGTCAACCGAATCCGGTCTATTGGTGGCACCAATGACAATAACTTGACCTCTGTTGTCCATTCCATCCATTAAGGCTAACAAAGTAGAAACAATACTTGCATGTATTTGCTCTTGTTTGGAAGATCTCACAGGTGCTAAACCATCAATTTCGTCGAAGAATATAATTGCCGGTTGCTGATTCTTAGCCTCTTCAAACAACAATCTTAACTGTCTTTCTGCTTCTCCTACCCATTTACTCAAACAATCTGCTCCCTTTCTCATAAAGAAAGTAATCTTTTGTTGAGCAGTGGAACAACTAGCTGCCAATGCCCTAGCCATTAACGTTTTACCAGTTCCTGGTGGACCATGAAAAAGCACACCTCTTGGTGGAGTTATGCCAAAGTTTTGATATAATTCTGGATAGAGTAAAGGTAATGCGACCATTTCTTTCAATTGATTGATATAGTTATCTAAACCACCTACTACAGAAAAATCAATATTCATATCCACGCCCAACGGATCCGTATCACTCAAATTATTTTTCTTTTTATCTTTCGACTCAGATGAACCACCAGTAATCAATTGCGTACCGTTATTTGTATTATTATTTATAGGCTTGCCGATCTTCTTCGATACAGTAGCTTCCCCATTTATAGGGGCTATTTCATCTTCAGAGGAATCTGAATCACTCACATTTTGCCCAATTGCTGTCAAATTATTGTCATTTGTCATACCAGGAATTGGAATCCCACCGGGAGGTATATTAGTACCAAATAATGAGATTACATCGCTTCCACCGAAAGGACCAGCCGTTGGAAAGAGAATTTTCCTATATTCGTTTTTAATATTTGTTGGCTTGCGACCCCTCCCCCTAGAAAATGGAGGGATTATAGGACCAGCATTATATGAATCCCCATGAGCTTCATTTGTCATTGGAGGTGGTATTGTATAGTCCACTTTGTTGTCCCTTTCTCGTAATTTATGTTTCATTGGAGTGTTATTTGGAGAAGAATCATATAATTCATCAATTTCCTTTTGAATGCTATCCTCATCCTCAGCGGAATCATTTGGTTCATTTTCTTCGTTCAGAGCCAATTTAGCTGAGCGGCCCCGTCTCCTAGGTTCTACCGATTTTGATCTTGAACGAAGTCTTCTACCTCTTCTGGGACGTTTGGTGTACCCATAATTGTTATCCTCATCATCTTCCGAAGCGATGAATTTTTTCTCTTGCAATTTTTCTAGAAAGTCGTCTGATGCTTCACTAGCTGAATCATGAAAATCAGATTCATCAGATACTTGTGTTCTTCTGGCTTTCCTCCTTCTCCGAGGTATATTGTCTTCGTCGTCATCATCTTCATCCTCAACATATTCCTCTTCATTATCATCCTTCACTTCTTCTGATACCGATGATGCATCTTCGTCCTCAACCTCGTCACCAGGTTCGCCAGTATCTTCTTCATTTGTAAACTTGTATTTAGTTCTCGTCGTTGATGCCCCTGTAACATTTTCCCCACCGGTAGAACTTTCACCGTTTTCTTCGTTGAGAACCTCATACTTATCTTCTTCCTTATCTTCTTCATCGTCCTCATTATAAGAAATTACTCGTCTCGGTCTTTTTGACTCAACACCATCGCTATTTTCATTATACTGATCTACCATTTCATCATGCGATTCATCAAGATCCATAGGAATATTCCTATTGTGTCTATTCCTTTTTCCAGCCATTTGAGCCGAAAATTTAGTAGGATCGTAATTTAAGCTAACAACAAATATCTTGGAAACTGAGTATCGAAAGAATTCTTGAACCAACCAATTATTTTATAAAATCCTGGTCAAATTGTGCAACCAAATATATTTTTTCCAAACAACTAATCAAGGATTGATGTTAGAGCGTGTCGGTTAACTGTATATGATAATATCCAATTGATTGTTTAGAACTAAATATCGTAAGAATTGTATACGGTGGTTTCATTTGTTAGTTCGCGTCACGGGTTACATAACCGGAAAATTTTCCATAATTACGGCCAATTCACTACATAGACAACAACCAACAATTTTCATAAACCAACGATATATAGAGGTAATAGATGAAGAAGAATCATTTGAATTGTTGATTACAAGATGATTGATATCCTCTTCAAGCATTTTTTTAAAAAAAATTACTTTTGTAAATAAAACTAAGAAGCCGACTGAAAAATTGTTATCTATGTAATTAATCTATCCGCATAATTTGCAGCCATTTCTGAAATGTACTTGACGTGATGTTTAACTATGACCAGATTGATCATACTTAGGTCTTCATCGTAGAAGAAACCGAGAAGATATCAAATTCGTAAAAAAGAAACTTATCTGCAGGACATTAATATTTTATAGTCTGTTCATATACTATGTAGTGAAAATCTATATGTTGTCGGCTATATAATGTACTATATACAAGTTGTATTATGTAGAGATCAATTGGATGACCTCATTGCGATTCTCTGAATCGGAATTTTATGCTTCTTTGAATTTGCATCTTCACCGTAGATTAAATCTGAACCAATGGTGGTGAAATGAGAAGTTCTGTTTTGAGGGGAAACCGCCAATCTGTCGAGTATTTTTGATGAAAGATTGGGTATTATTGGATTGATTAATATTGAGCAGATTCTAGAAGTTTCAGCCGCCATAAAAACATAGTAATTCTGGATAATTTTGTGGAGTTTCTTGTCATCGTCGCTCACGGTGTCAGATTTAAGCGACTTAGTATAAAGCCACGGCTGGCCTAGCTGGAAGAGCTGGTTAGCTTTCTCTAGAGGAGCCCACCATTTCTGGATTGTTTTCATCTGGTCAAAAGACGACATGCTCATATCCATTGATGAGTAGAGGTTATTTAGGATATCTGTCAACTCGTTCTTCAAAGCGATAATCTGTTTAGATTCAGTCGTCTTATCATTGTTGAGACAGTGGTCGCTTATTAAAGCGTCTATATTGTCAAACTCGCCTGCTTTGAAAGACCTGACACTTTCCAAGATATTAAATGCATTACCTCCACAACGCGTAATTAAATTAGCATACTTTCCGATGAGATTTTCTCTGGTTAAGTAGAAATATTGTTCACTGTAGTTGCAATCGGATTCAATATTAGAATACTCTGTCAAAAAGAATCTTAAAGCATCCTCGCCGTAATAATCGAGGGTTTCAAGAGGATCAACAACGTTCCCTAAGCTTTTACTCATCTTAAAACCATCACATAGCCAGTGGGAATGCACCACAACCTGGCGAGGCAAATCGATTCCAGCAGCCATCAAGAATATAGGCCAATAAATACAATGAAACCGTATGATATCTTTGCCAATGACGTGAGTAGCAGGCCAAATATTACTGGGTTCGGTCTGGTACTTCTCGTTCACAATTGGAAATTTTTCAGGAAATCCACAAGCGGTTATGTAATTGAGTAAAGCATCAAACCAGACATATATTTTCTGACTACTATCACCAGGTACTTCAATTCCCCATGTTAATCTAGATGAAGGTCTGGAAACTGATAAGTCGGTTAACTTGTATTCTGTTAGCTCTCTAAGTAATTCGGTATACTTGGATTTTGGCTTAATAAAATCAGGATTTGACTCAAGAAACGAAATCAACTTATCTTGGAAGTGAGATAATCTAAAAAAGTAATTGGTTTCTTCTTGGTATATGACTTCGTTTTTAGTTTCTTTGGATATCATTTTCTTTTTACCAGTTGTGGAGTCCACTATCTCTTCAATTTGAGTTTCAGGATAAAACGTCTCATCACTAACGGCATACCAGCCACTATGTGAACCTTGGTATAGGAACCCTTTTTCTTTCATTACTCCCCAGAAATATTGAACTGTTTTGATATGATCTTCATCGGTAGTTCTTATAAATCTATCATATTCAATATTAACTTTTTGACCTAAGTTCTTGAAATTTGTAGACACCTGATCAGTTAAGTCTTTAGGATGCATGTCTAGTTTCTCGGCTGCTGCTTGTATCTTTAAACCGTGTTCATCAGTACCTGTAAGAAAAAATGACAGCTTATTTGGGTCTAGTTTTTCCCAACGATTTCTTGTATCACATAATAACATAGAATACAAATGGCCTAAGTGTGGACGAGCATTTACATAAAAGATAGGTGAGGTGATATAGAATGGCTTGCTGGCAGAACTAATCAACCTCTTAGCCATAAAGCTATATGCTGGCTTCACAAATCTTCGTGTCATTTCAATTCAAATATGTATTCAGGAACATGCATAAAGTTGATATCAAGCAATATTTTTCAGATCGATTATCAAAAATGATCCGAGAAGAATTTGAGATCGACAGGCACAAGGCCCAAAATTATGGATTCTATCACAATTTACATACTACACTATACGAACATATAGCAGATACTCTTTAAGCTATAAATAAATAATATACAATGATTTTATAAAGAAAAAGCTTGGGAATATTAAAGGTCGGTCTTTTCAACGAATATGGCCATTAATGCAAAAACAGTGTAAAACATAGCTAATGGATAGGCAATTAAAGGTCTGACATTGTGCAACTTTAGAACAGCGACAAAGAAACCAGAAGCCGAGTATGTACACCAGAATACGGCAAAAACACTAAATATATAACCCAATAAATTATCCAAGGAGACGAACACACCTATAACACTTACAAGGACCAAAGGCAATAAGCAATAACCGATAACTGAAGCCGATCTGACCAAATCAATCGTAACGTCATCGCTCATTAATTTGAACAAATAGTGTAAACTAATTATACCAAATAACCCGACCCCATAGATATATCCAAACTGTACCTTTCCTGCTAATAGCAACAAGGTACCGAATAACAAAACAAAAATAATAGGGCCTGCCAAATCAGAGTCTGCCATTATGTCTGATGTAATGTTCTTATTCATTGGGTTCAACACAGCCAATGTCTTCATCTTGATATGCTGGAAATTGATTCCGACTTCTTCCAATAATGGAGGTTCATTAGGATACCCAGAAGTTCCGAATGCTGCCACTAAACCTGGTGTTAATTCACCAGCTCCCATAACTCCACTGACGTCGATGTTTGCTCCAAATCCGGAATCCATAGCTCCCATCGATGGTGCCGAACCTCCCATCATATTATCAGCTCCTGTTTGTTGTCCATAGGTGTTAGAGTAATTGGATTGGTAAAATTGCATATTCTGAGGGTTATTCACCTGCTGTTGATAATACGCCATGTCTAATATTCTTCAATAAAATATTCTATGTATTTGCTGCCTTCGCAAAATTACTGATTTTATATAACAAATTAAATCCACGTAGAAAACAGTCTATAACCTTTTAAATTGACGATACAAGTCTACTTTTTCGCTTGAAGAAACCTGTCGATATAGTCTATAATAGTACCTGTTCTGTTTTCAATCGCAGTGAAATATGTGGTCGTGTAAAATACTACTAACAGTCAAAATTCTAGCCCAAAATAGCTTCAAACGTAAGTATATAATAAAAAAGAATGAAAATAATACTATGACATGGCAATTGATAAGACAACCCAAGCTAATACATGCTTGGCGTGTTATTTTGAAGAAGTTAGCAGGGATATTACTTACTACAGTTCTCGTTTTTTTTTGGTTCCACTCTATGCAAAATACCAGGTCAATTAGTTCATTCGTGGCGCATATGGAAAGTTGCAGGAGTGAATGAAATTGAACATAATTAACTCATTTTTGATCAAAAGGTAGACTTGAAACTAATGTAAAAGTGTATAGATATGATATGTAATCGATTCCTAATATTCTTGTAAGGGGATTGGGTGTAAATAAGATGGTTTAACATTTGATGTGAGTAAAATGTTGTTAACTAACCAATCACCCTCTGTTTAGTTTCAGATTCCCTTGATCTCCTGTTTCTAAGATTTTAAAGTGATTCTCCCGCCTACTCGTAGTTTTGTAATGATGGCTAATTATATTAGAACAACCTGTATATATATGAATATTCTCCCATTTTTCATTGTAAGGGAACTGGGTCTAAATTAGGTAATTCTTACAACTAACACTTGATATACTATGTAGATTCTACTAATCTAACTTTAACTTGACTTATAGATTGACAACTAACTAATTACTCTCTATTTAGGTCCTAATTCCCTTAACCTCTATTCTGAGATTTACCGGGATTCTTCCACATATTTATAGTTTTGCAATCGTGGCTGTAATTGCAAGACGTATACTTTGCAACGCGTACTGTACGTATAACACATATATATATGGGCATGTTCTCTTACATTCATCATATTAGTTACAGTGGCCGAGTGGTTAAGGCGACGCCCTGCTATCAGCAGTTTAGGCGTTGGGTTTTACCTGCGCAGGTTCGAATCCTGTCTGTGACGCCATTTCTTTTTTTTTGAAGTATCTCGGAGTGAAAATTGAGCACCAGTTGAGAATCATCAATTAACGATACTATCAATTCGCTTTTACGAGTTAGATTGTAGTATAATAAGTATAATTATAAACAATGTCTCAATCTCTAATTGTCTTTGAGCCATCAGGGAAAATTAATTACCTGTATAACAATAAAATAAGTGGGTTTAATGAACACATTGCAAGTATCGTCAATGAGACGTACAACGAATTAGAAACAAATTTTTTCACAACAAGCTCCAATCAGAAAAGATTCTATAGTTATAAGAGGGATAAAAGATATGCTTCTTTATTCTTTGATATTGTGACAACAGTGGATAGTGAAAAGATAAAACAAACGTTGATAGGGATATTAAAAACATACACTAAGATCACTGAAGATCACGACGTAGACGATGAAGAAACGGAAGGGAAAGTCAAAAAGTTGATAGATTATCAATTTAATCAATTGATGAAGTATAAACAAACGGAAAAGCCTGTGACGAAAGGTATTGAGGCACCATTATCGGCAGTTTCTAGTAATAGTGGTACGAGCACCCCAAACAAACAGAAGCCAGGAGCCGGCACTAAAAAGATGAGAAAATGGGACGGAGATCAGATGGTTGAAAATAGCGGAGACTCCCAGGTATTGGATTTCTCTAATAAAAACGAATCCAGTAATAACGATAGTAGGGTTGATAACAACCAGCTTAAGGTTGACCCATCGGCATTTAGCAAGAATAACGATTTGGTGCTAGTGCAAGAATTGAACGACATTTTGGGTGAAGATGATGATGATGAGGAAGAAGAATCCGCTAACACTAAGTCAGGAGGCTTTTTTGGTAAGGTTACTTCCTACTTTGGTTCGTCGATTAACATAGACGAGATTTCAAAGAAATTCTACGATCAATTAATAACCAAAAACATTGCTCCTCCCACTGCTAAAATAATTCTCGACAAGATCAAAATCAAACTTGGTAACAAACAAGGAGTCACAATCGCTATGTATAAACAAACTATGGTTGAAGAATTAACCAAGATTTTAACCCCTAATGTGTCTACAGACTTATTGTATGAAATTAAAGACCGTTCTTCATCAGGTAAGCCATATGTTATATCGGTTGTGGGTGTCAATGGTGTTGGTAAGTCTACTAATTTAGCCAAGTTGGCGTACTGGTTCTTGCAGAATAATTTGAATGTTTTAATCTGTGCCTGTGATACATTTAGATCGGGTGCAGTCGAACAATTGAAAGTGCATGTCAATAATTTACAAAAATTGAATAATTCTTCATCCTCTGAATCTAAGATCGACATCTTTGAAAAGGGGTACGGTGGGGGTGATCATGTCGTCGCAACTGCTAAGCTGGCAATTCAGCATGCCTCAAACGAACATTACGACATAGTTTTAATTGATACTGCTGGTAGAACACATTCCAACGCCAAATTAATGACTCCATTGAAAAAGTTTGGTGATGCCGCCAACCCAGATAAGATTATCATGGTGGGTGAAGCTTTGGTTGGTACCGACTCAGTTGAGCAAGCAATAAATTTTAATAATGCATTTGGTAATAGGCGTAATTTGGATTTCTTCATTATATCCAAGGTTGATACCGTGGGTGACTTGGTAGGTACGATGATTAATATGGTTATGGCTACAAAGGTACCAATCTTGTTCGTTGGTACTGGTCAAACTTATACTGACATTAAGAGATTAAGTGTTAAAACTGTAGTCGATATGTTAATGAACTAAATCACCATATCTGCTCCTTTATTTGTTCCTTCTTTGGGGCCTAATTTAGCATACATATATAGCGATGTAAAAGTGTATTGTCATTTACAGGCTTTAATTACTAGTAAATTTTGTTAGCGAATAAGTGCGGCAATGCGACTAACCCTTGACAGCGATAACCCAACTATTTCCTTGACAGCTCAGCGGTAGATAATCTTTATTTGGATACAGTTAGTTGTATATCATTTCAATGCTAAGCATAGTTTGAGTATAGTGTATTTTGATAATAAATTTAGAGACTGACTTATTTATAGAAATGAGACTCCGTTCTAAGAGAAAGGATTCAAACTCATCAGATACACCAGTTACTCAAGACGGATCAAATTATCACTTATATCTCAAAATAAATGCTGATAGAGCAGCAGACTTGGTACCGAAAGTTGAAGCCGATAACATCAATGAATCGGGGTCAGCTACACCTTCTTCAACATCAAGTAAAAAGAATGTAAATCCAGTTTTAGTGGCTGTGCTTAATAATGTGAAAAAGAAAACGAAGAGAAGGGTGAACACAAGTCAACCATCTTGGGATGCAGCATTACAATTCCCATTGAAATCGAATGATTACTCTCAGGTGTTTAGTTTGACAGTATGGGATAAACATAAAAGATATAAGAACTACCTTGGAGAATTGAGATTGAATTTGAATGATCTTTTCTTCACGGATGGGAAATTTCAGTCGAAATCTGATCTTAAGTGGTACAAGTTATATTCTAATAAAGAATATCATAGTTTTGTCACTGGCTCATTGTTATTATCGTTTGGATTGGAAATAAAAAAGATTAAACAGAAGAAGTCCAGAAAGACGAAAGAGCAGACACAAACCCCTTCGCAAACACCGGTTCCTGAGTCTACTTCAGAATTTGAGGCCTACAATGCTGTTAGTAGCTCTCCCGGAATTGTTGTCAACGTGGTTCCTCCTTCAAGAAAAGCAAGTGGAAATTTGTATAAGAAGGTGGATTCTCTAAGTATTTCGGACACAGAAACAGGGTTACTGGCAACTATAGAAGAAAATAAAGAGAAATTATTCCTAGATTGGAGGAAACTGTTGATATACTCAGATCCTGATTTAACTATTACAAAGCCAGATGAGCAAGGTTTTTATTCTGATACTGGGGAAGTGCTTAGTTTGCTGGCGGACTTATCCGATATTGATTCTATTAGTTCTACTGCGGTATCAAACCCGGATGCCAGGGAATCGGGGGATCTGCAACATAGTCCTGTTTCATCATTGCAAAAGCAAAAATTTTTGACTGTTGGAGCAGACGATGTTAGTTCCTTATCTGATGCATCTGTATTATCGAGTGATAGTGCTATGAACTATGAAAGTGATGCATTGTCAAATGATAAACTCCTGAATTTAGGTAGTGAAGCGTCTAGATCAAAAAGAGGCTTTGGCTTAAAGAGATTAAGGAAAAAGAAGGAAAAGGAGCAATTTAATTTGAGCAAGCGAGCTGTCTTAGGTGTTTTATTTCTCGAAATTGTTTCATGCTCTGACTTACCTCCAAATAAGAGCTTTAATCGTGCAACTTTTGATATGGACCCATTTGTAGTGATAACATTCGGGAAAAAGACTTTCAGGAGTAGCTGGAAACGTCATACATTGAATCCAATATTTAATGAACGATTAGCATTTGAAATCTTACCACATGAGAGTAATTTTAACATTCAATTTTTTGTCTTAGATAAAGATCAATTTTCTTATAATGACAATGTTGCAAATATCTCATTAAGAATGAAGGACGTTACGAATATGGCAACCGCACCTCCTGCTACAACATATGAGAACAAGCATCTGTCTCCTTCTTCATTTTCACTATTACCCAATGCTCTGGATACTGCACTTTCAACAGGCGAGAATGATTCGCAAAATTCGAGTATTAGGATACTTGATGATGATAATATGGTACATTCAGTTCGAAAGAAAAAATTCACCAATAGGAGAAAAGTTACTGTTCTGCATGCTGATACTTCTAGATTTAAGACCATGAACCTAACATTGGATTTGCATAAATCTAAGAATATTGGAAAGTATAATCCTACATTGAAAATACGTGTTAGATTTGAGCCATATGAGAGTTTAAGAAGACAATTCTGGAGTATATTATTAGAACAATATGAATTGAATGAAACTGAGGATAAATATGACTTTATTGAGTTAATCTCATTTTTGGATACATTAGGCTGCGAGAATAGTGATCAGATTGTCAGTAATTTTTTTGATAAGTATAAAAGACTGGCTTGGGGAGGTGATTTATTATCAATCAGTGAAATTGTCGATGCACTTGAAGATCATGTCAAATTTTCGACTGGTATTGATGATAAACTTTTTGATATTGAAAAATGTCCGCTATGTTGTCAGAAACGATTATCTAAGAAGCAAGACTGTGATATAATTACGCATGTAGCAATTTGTGCTTCAAAAGATTGGAGTATTGTTAATAAGTTATTAGTTTCATCTTATGTTACTCCACAAATTGCTACTAAAAGATGGTTTACAAAAGTCCTAATCAAGTTAACATATGGAAAATATACATTAGGCAGTAATTCAGCTAATATCTTGGTTCAAGATAGAACTACAGGCATTATTTTGGAAGAAAAGATGGGAATTTATGTTCGCTTAGGTATACGATTATTATACAAAGGTTTTGATAAAGCCAAGTCGAGAAGAATTAGACAAGTATTGAAAAAATTAAGTGTTAAACAAGGAATTAAATTTGATTCTCCCCATCTGAAAAATGATATTGAATCTTTCGTTAAATTTCATAAATTGGACTTATCCCAGTGTCTCGAGCCTAATTTAGAGAAGTATGCAACTTTCAATGAGTTTTTCTATAGAAAGTTGAGGCCAGATGCTAGGCCGAACGAATCTCCCGATGATAATAGAGTTGTTGTATCACCTGCCGATTGTCGTTGTACTGCGTTTGCAACTGTTAAACAAGCTACTGAAGTTTGGGTTAAGGGACGAAACTTTACGATAGCCAAACTTTTTAACGGTAATTTCAATAATTTACAAGAGACCGATCTTTTCAAAGCTGAATGTTGTTCATTAGGTATTTTTAGATTGGCTCCACAAGATTATCACAGATTTCACTCTCCTGTTGATGGCGTTATTAAGAATATTAAATATATCGATGGGGAATATTACACAGTTAACCCTATGGCTATTAGATCAGAATTAGATGTATTTGGAGAAAACATTCGTGCCATCATTCCTATTGAAACTAAGGAATTTGGTACGGTTATTATGGTTGCTGTTGGTGCAATGATGGTAGGGTCCATTGTTCTTACGACAGGTGAAAATGATGTAGTCAAGAGAGGTGATGAAATTGGTTACTTTAAATTTGGCGGTTCTACCATTTTGTTGTTATTTAACAATAAAATGTTCAAATTTGATTCCGATTTAGTTAATAATTCCAATACATCGGTGGAAACTTTGATTCGCATGGGTGAGAGTATCGGCCATGCACCGGAGGTTGAAGAGTACAAGCGAGATCATATCGATTTTGGAGCTCAATCCAAGGATTTCAAGTTGAATTTAATCAGAGCTCTTACTGGTGGCGACTTAAGCACTTCCAAAGAGTTAAGTAATTGGGAATGTGCCCATACGAATATTGAAGATTTGGTAGATGTTGTAAAGGAGGACGACATTATCGAAAATGAAGAAGAGGATGATGAACTAGATGAAGAAGGTCTGTTCTGTAGTAACGATAGCAATGCATACGATTTATAATGCATATATAAATCAATTTAAATTAACAATACATATATTGCGTAACTAAACCCTTGTATAAAATTACATATTTGATCCCATAACTTTTCGTATACCTGTAATTCAATTACAAAAAATATATTTACATATCATACCTCTGTTCGGAAAATACTCCTACAGGCGAATAAAATTTATCTTCTTTAATCCCACTTGCTTCTTCCAATCCACGAACGTGCCACCCTAAATACTCAATATTGTATTTAATATTCCGGATTTCATCGTATTTTTTTTGTACGAACTTTGGTTCCAAAATAAACTTCGTAACTAGTGGTGGTAAAATCAAGCCACTTAATAGTCCAACTGTTGCAGGCGATTTAATAACTAAAGACATTGTTGATTGTATATTGATTTTGATACCAAATCATTTAGTGGGGATGCGATCAATTTATATTGAGAATTTGGTGGTACCCCGGAGAGACCCTGAACTCGGGATGCACACCATTTATAAAATTGCTGAAGTGGAACGATTATTAATAATTGTTTAAAGTCGGAACATAGCGGGATATGATATGTATTTTATATCTATATAGATGTACTTGGCATTGGAAATCTTATCTTAACATCAATTCGCTTTAAAAATGTAGGTGTATCAAATTACATCTAGTATGTATGTACGACTATAAAATTAATTAATTCAGGCCTTTTGTTGACCACCATATAAGCTTCTCCATTCGTCAATTTTACTTTCATCGATTCTCTTAAACAAGTATTGGGCCTTACCAATGCAGTGACCAGGTTCTAAAACCAACTCAAACTTGTCAGTAATAGATAATGGAGGAGCATTCAAAACTTGGCAAATTTGGGTAGTACATTCTGGCATGAAAGGACTAATAATAGCACTAACCAAGTAAATCAAATTTAAACCAACACCCATAACAGCATCAGATTTGTCTGGTAAATTGGTATATAAATTATTATCTAATTTGTTGTCTTGTAAAAATTGGTTACCACGAGATGATATGGACATAGCAATTTCTAGACCACGACGTAAGTTAACAGCTTCCATATTTTCAATGTAATTAGCTAATAATTGGTTGATTTCAGTATTAAACCTATCGTAGTCTGGAATGTTTTTAGGGTCAAATTCTGGTACAACCCCATTATACTTGGCAATAACAAACTTGACCAATCTATTGACGAAGTTACCTAAGTTAGCTAATAACTCGGAGTTGTTCTTAGTAACAAATTCAGTCCAAGAGAAATGTGAATCAGAGGATTCAGGTCTCACGGAGGCTAAGTAATATCTCCAAACTGATGGAGAAATGTTAGTTTCCTTGGCATTATTACCAAAAACACCTACACCTCTCGATTTAGAGAACTTACCATCTTCATATTGCAAGTATTCAGTTGTGTTCAAGTGGTGTAACTTAGTCCAATTGTCCTTAGTACCAATTTGGGAAGCTGGGAAAACAACTGTATGGAACGGAACATTATCTTTACCCATAAATTGGTATAAATCGACATTTTCTGGATTTCTCCACCATTTCTTCCAATCCTCTGTTTTATCGTCCTTGAAGTAATTTGCAGTGATAGATACATAACCGATTGTGGCATCAAACCAGACATACAAGACCTTGTCCTTGAATTTTTCCAATGGAACAGGTGTACCCCAAATCAAATCTCTAGTGATACATCTTGGTTCCAAACCTTGCTTCAACCATGAATTAGTAATGGTCTTGGAATTCTTCGACCAAGCACCCTTTTCAGACGCTTCTTCAACCCATGCTTTAAGTTCTGGTTCCAAATCGTCCAATTTAATGTAAATGTGAGTGGAGTCTCTAGGAATAGGTTTAGCATTATCAACCTTACAACGTGGGTTTATCAATTCGAATGGATTCAATAAGGAGCCACACTTGTCACATTGGTCACCCCTGGCATCCTCGTATTGACATTTAGGACAAGTACCTTCAACAAATCTATCTGCCAAGAATGCATTATGTTCCTGACAGTACAATTGTTCAGTGGTTTTCTCTTCTAAGTAGCCATTATCAAACAATTTCATGAAAATATCTTGGGCAATCTCGGTTTGCTGACTGGTGGTAGTTCTACCAAAGTAATCGAATCCTATGTCAAACCAATCGTAAACATCCTTATGAATCTTATGGTATTTGTCACACAATTGTTTTGGGGTAATCTTTTCTTCTAATGCTTTAGTTTCAGTAGCAGTTCCGTACTCATCTGTACCACAAATGAACAAGGCATTATAATTTCTGTTCTTGGCATAACGAGCATAAATATCTGCTGATAAAACTGAACCGACAATATTACCTAAATGTGGAACATTATTAACATAAGGCAAGGCAGACGTAATTAAAATATTTCTTTCATTCTCCTTGGGAAGAATTCTGTCTGCTTGCCTCTTGACTAAGTGACCAATTTTCACCTTTTGGGCTCCAGTATTTTCGCTCTTTTGTCTCTCTAATGTTGTGATGGATAAGGCATGTTTAATAGCCTCACATACCTTTGGGAGTTCACTAAATTCTTTATACCACTTGTTAATTGGGGTTTCACATTTGCCATCATTTAATGCACCATATACAGCGGCAAAAAGAACAATCTGGCTCGCTGAAGTCTCGGCCTTTTCAAGTTTTATAGAACTCTCATTGATGGCTTGAACAATCGCATCTTTTTTATTCGAGTTTGCAGCCTTGTAAAGAACAGTTTCTTCGAACTCAATCACCTTATCTTTGCTGAAATCATTTGCAAGAAATTTTACAATAGCATTTGGTTCGGATAATTCAAAACCTGACTTCTTATCGATCAATGAGAGAGATGACTCATTTTCACTTAAGGAAACACTTAATTTAGGTTGATAAATAGCAGAAACTAAAGACAATTTCAAATTGTTGGCCAATGTTGATAAGGAGCTACCCGTTTCACCAATTAGCTGAAGCGAAGACATGTTACTTATATTTAATTTGCCAGTATCTAGGATTAATGATCTTCGTTTTAAGTGCTAAAAAGTTGAATGCTCATTCCTCATGAATTATAACACAAAACTGTTAAAAGGCCTTAACTAGGGAAGCCTTCTAGTAAGGACCATAACTAATACAAGGAATATATATGAATAATGCTAAGAGTGGTCAGAAACGTGAAATTGAAGACGAATATCAATCTTGTGTCATCTAGGAATATAACCAGTCAGACTACTGATGAATGGAACAGTTTGATATCAGCCAGAGGCTTCAATGCCAGAGACAATGAAACCAAAGTAGATCCGGATAAGATTTTGCTGGGAACAACGTTTATAGCTAAAGACAATATAGCTACTATAAAGGAGCCAACAACGTGTGCTTCTCGTATGCTTGATAATTATTATAGTCCGTTCGATGCCACGGTAATATCCTTGTTGGAAGAACAAGGTCTGACTATGGTTGGAAAAGCCAATTTGGATGAATTTGGTATGGGGTCTGCTAATGTTAATTCGTATTATGGGCATTCTGTAAACCCATTATTTACAGAAGAGGAACATATAACGGGTGGTTCGTCGGGAGGATCGGCAGCTAGTATACAAAGTAATTTAGCAACTTTTAGTCTTGGTACAGATACTGGAGGTTCGGTAAGATTGCCTGCAAGCTATTGCGGTATTGTAGGTCTTAAACCAACTTATGGAAGAATATCGAGATGGGGTGTGATTCCTTATGCTCAAAGTCTAGATACTGTTGGGATTTTAGCAAATGATGTCGAAACTGTGCAGAAGGTTTTCAAGGTTTTAGATAAACATGATCCTAAAGACCCTACGTCATTACCAACCGAGTTTAGAGACGAATTAAGAAGGGAGAAACAAAAATATCAGAAAAATAGGTCGCAATTGGTCTTTGGTGTTCCTGATGAATTTTTAGTTGCAGAATTATCCCAAGGAACAAGAGAGCATTGGCTGCATATGCTTAGTACAATACAAGATATGGGCCACGTAGTACGGAGAGTATCTATACCTTCTATAAAGAAGCTGATTCTGGCATACCTCGCTTTAGCTACGGCTGAAGCATCCTCGAATCTTTCTCGTTACGATGGGGTACGATTCGGGTTTAATACCAATAATTTGAAAGATTCACCCCTCGAACTTATAGCAGAAAACAGGAGTACATCCTTGGGTCTTGAGGTACAAAGAAGAATAATCCTTGGTAATTATACTATGTCGGCAGACTCGGGAAATCATTACTTCAAAGCTACCGATGAACGGCGAGATATCGTTGAAGATTACAACGAAATATTGAACTTTCCAAATTTATTGATGAATGAACCTGGTGAGTTTCTGTCCGAAAAATGTGATATCATTGTTACTCCTACAGCAATGAGTGGCCCATTGAGCGTAGAAGAATATTTACGTCATGATAGAGAAAACTTTTTAAATAGTTACGTGAATGATATATTGACAGTACCTGCTTCATTAGCAGGGATGCCAGCTATATCTATACCATGGAATACACCGGGAACGGATCCATCTATCCCACAGGGAATGCATTTAATGGCTCAATTTGGTGATGACCACTTTCTTCTTGATTTTGCCGCAGAATTGATGAAAGTGAATAGTACTACATAGTTGATTATTTGTCTTGTATATACTGTAAACATAAATAAAGATAATGCTATATTTAAACAATATATGAAATGAACAGTTGAATATCATAACATCATTAGTAACTGATTGACTAGAAAGAGTTGGTAAGAAAGTAGAACTAAACCATAAATATAAAAATGCAATAGGTATATAAAAGATTAGAAAATAAATGTTGAAATCATTTTCTTAAAGTTCATTTAATGTCTACCTAATAAAGTCAAAAATTCTTCTCTTGTCTTTTGCTGATCACGGAAACACCCAAGCATACAACTGGTAGTAGTCGAAGAACCAGTCTTTTGGACCCCTCTACTAACCATACACATATGAGTTGCTTCTATAACAACAGCGACTCCTCTTGGTTTTAAGATTTCGCCCAATGCCATCGCAATTTGTTTCGTTAATCTTTCTTGAACTTGGAATCTTCTGGCATACATTTCTGCCAAACGGGCCAATTTGGATAATCCTAAGACTCTCTTATTTGGAATATACGCAATGTGAGCCTTACCAAAGAACGGAACTAAGTGATGCTCGCATAATGAGTATATCTCAATGTCTCTTACAATAACCATCTCATCATGATTCTCCTCAAAAACTGCTCTCTTGATAACATCTCTAATATTATCTTCATACCCCTTTGTAAAGTATAACATTGCACGGGCATAACGTTCTGGAGTTTCCAATAATCCTTCTCTATCCACATCTTCGCCTAACTCAGTCAATATAGTCTTAACGGCTGAAGCTATCCTCATTTCTCTAGAATTGGCTTCTTCCTGTGTTTGTTCGATACGAGAACGAGCCCCTCTAGATGGCCACGACAATCCATCGTTGTCAATAGGAGGGTTTAAGGTACATGGTGACGCAACCCTGGTTTGTAAAGGTGTGCCAAAGCTCGGGTTAGTGTCATCGCCAGCTAATCTCGATCTTTTCAAAGGTAAAATCGGTTTTGGTGAGTAAGTACCATTATATGGTTCACTTTTTGCTAGCTCATCGTTCTTCCCTGACATGATATATTATATGTTTTTCACCTTCTAATATACTATTATCAAAGCTTGAAAAACCTGTTAATCTTTGTCATTAATGAACGATTAGATCTTTTCGCAGTTGTCGAATTTTATTCACGTGAAAGTGTATGATAGGTAAACTCGGATAACTTCAGAATACAGACTTCTGGTTACAAACTATAAGACTACACGGATGCACTTAACTTGCTTTCAATGATACAAAAAAATCATAAATTCGTAGAAAAAATTACTCTCATAAAAAAAAGGATATATAAACGTTAAAAACTATTAATTATCGTTATTGAGATGACTTTACTCACAGAATGGATTCAAAGCACGAACAGTCAAGCAGGGTAAAGCCATGCCTATTTCAGCCCTAATAAGGATTGGCACTTGTGTCAACTCTCTGATCTCTTGAATATATGAACCATTGTCAACCCTGGTAATAAGGTCTTGCAAGTATGGCTTCAAGCCACCTAATGCGTCGATATCACTAGCTCCATTAGCAGAGTCTGACTTAATCAATGATGATGAATTAGTTCTGACATTCTTCGGGAAAGAAGACGACCTAGTTGGCGACGATGGCATTGATCTTGTGTTCAAATCTCTAGATTCTAGATCGGATTTACTTATCGAAGGAATGGATATATTTGGAACTTCCAAGTTCAATTTGGTTAATTTCTGAATAATTGAATCAGACATAACATTATTTTTTTCCAATAAAGTCTTGCTTTGCATCTTTGCTGCCTGTAATGATGAAGTTCTGTATTTGTTCTTGATGGACGATCTGTACGACAAAGAAGTCTGTTCATCTTGTGGAATAAATGTAGCCGAGTCGACACCCTTTTCCCAGTAAAGTTCCAAGAGCCTAGAAGATTTATCGAATTCTGCTTTGACTAATGGCAACTGATCCCCGTGAACCCTCTTCTCAACACCGAATTCAGGAATAAATACATCAAAAGATGATTCGTAAACTTGAATGACTGTACCCATACACAATAATTGGCCCGCACTTTCACTGATTTCATTAATAGTTTGGGATAATAATAAGTGAATTGCCTGTTCTTGAGCATTAGCAGCACAATCTTTCTTGAAGTTACAGTAATCAGCTGTTGCCTTTAATGCATCCAAATCTACTGATTTATCTTCATCTGTTTTGTTGAGTACTGTTTTCAATTGTCTATGAACAATTAGGTCTGCATATCTCCTTAATGGAGCTGTAAAATGAGTGTATAATGGAATATTGAAATAATAATGACCATAGCTGTCTGGATCTTGCTTTCCCGCCACATAGTATTTGCCTCTAGACATACACTTGTACAATAATATTTCAACACATTGTCTTTTAACAGGATCTTGAATTCTTAAGATGGATCTTTGTAAAGTTGAAGAATTAGTTGTATCAATCTTGAATCCTAAATTAGTTGCCCTTCTTACAAAGGTCTCCATTTTTTGTAATGTTGGTAATGAGTGACGACGTAATAAAGCCTGGTCTCCTAGGCTTGCATGAATCTTTGCCGCAATGGCATTATTCACTTTATGAGAAATTTCATTCACAATGTCAAACGAAAGACTATCCTTGAAGATATTCAAATGTAAATTAACTTTTTCATCATCTAATTGATCCAATAGAGTCAAGTTTGGGGTGATACCTAACTCCTTGTCAGCTAACCTTTGACGACGGAACTCTTTCGCAATCAAGCCAAACGTCTTGATATAATCTGAGGTTGCAGATGAGATATTAGTAACCTGCTTTCCATCTAAAATCTGATCAAAAGATTCATACTTGACAATTTGTTTAGGTACAATAATAGATTCATGAATGTAAAGATCTTCAACTTCAAAGTTAGTTGTGTCAATTTCAAAGACAACTGAGAGTGCTAAGTTTCTTTCATTCTCCTTGAAGGAAATCAAATTATTCACTTGTTGCGGGAACAAATGAGTAATTTTCTGAGGTAAAAAGACGGATGATGATCTCTTTTTTGCCTTTCGATCTAATACAGAACCAGGTTTAACATAAAAAGCGATATCAGCAGCATGGAACCCTAATTCAATCTTAGTATCTGAAAGTCTTTTGACGTGCAAAGCGTGATCGACGAATTCTCCATTTTGAGAAAACGATATAATGTAATCGTTCAAGTACTCTGTCCTGCTCACGTTGTTTAATTCAGATTCAATACTTGGGAAATCATTGATAAACGAGCTTATAATTCCACTATCATCATCCTCGGGGTATTCATCACATAAGAAATTGTTATCTCTCAAAATCGAATTGATTTCCGTTCCAGGATCATCAATCTTGGCTAATTTACTAACTAATGTACCAAATGGATGCAATGAGGTGATTGGCCATCTCTTAATCGAAGCAACAAATAACTGATCAGCGTATTTTTCGTGATTCTCTACAAAATCCTTTGGAGCTTGTTCCGTTGGAATAGCAATTAAAGGTACTTTCTTATCGGTCGGTTTAAACCAGACAATTTTAGGTGCCTTCGGTTGTTGGATTGATGGCTCTTTTCCGTACTTCTTATCCTTAGCCGCTTGTGCAGCTTGAGCTGGTCTCAATAATCCTAAAGTACCAGCAAATAATTGGCCAGGTATACGATCAACAACTGCAACAACATGTCCTGCGTACAATGGCTTGACTTCGTCGTTGATCTCCTCTTCTTCAACCAAAAGCAACGATTGACCTTCAACTTCAACATCATCATTTTTCTTCATTGTAGGTCTTTGCTTCAATGAGCCTCTTCTTGTCAAACCTGAATCCCCATCAGCTTCAGATTTGTCCTCTGTTTCACCACTTGTTGTAGGTGCTGATGTGGAAGTTGCATCATTGTGAATGTCATCGTTCATTATTGAGGTGGCTGGAGTCTTACCTAAGGTATTGTCCTTTCTTCTCTTCTTCTCCTCCTTTTCCTTCTTGGAATCCCAAACTTCATCGACAACCAATAATTCAATCGCTACTAAATCACCTTCCAAAGCACGATTACGATCCTTTGAACCACAGATGAAAATATCGGCGTCTAATAAGCCATCAGTTGAAACGTAAGCATCCGACCTATTCTTTTTATTTACTCTTAAGGTACCAGTAACTAAGCGACCGTCATTGATTAATTCAGGTAACGAAGATTGAGGCAAGTAAGGAGCAAAGAGAGATTTACGGCCACTTCCGTTTCCACCTCCTCCATTATTATTTGGCATAAACTGAGATAACGAGGAAATAGATGAGCCTCCACCATACGAGCTATTACGCGGTCTATGACCGGGGACAAATGAGGCTTGAGGAGGCTCAAGTTGTGACTGTTGTCTGTGGTGTTGCTGCTGTTGTGATCTCCAGTTCGTATTCATATTGGCAGCGCCATTAGGGTCAAAATTTCTCGAGCCAGATCTATAGTGAGAACCACGTCTTTGATGGCCTCTCTCTGGACTTTGACTGATGGTGAAGTTCGGGGTTGGAGGTAATAATGAGTTATTTTCCGGAGGAAATTTAAATGATTGCTGTCCGTAGGCTAATGACTTAGATCTATTATGCGTAGATCCAGAAGACCCACCTGAAAGTGAAGAATCATTATCACCACCCTCGGAACCTGAACTTGGAGGAAATTTAAACGATCCAATACTATCATCGGTATTAGGACTAGTACTGGGTTTTGGACTAGAACTAGAATTATCACCCGTTGGGCTCAAAGATGTTCTATTTGTTTGTCTTTGGTTCGCAGCAGCTTTGATTGCTTCATTCAATCCCAAAGAATGTCTTCTGTTGTGGCCCATATTCTGGTTCGAAGCCGACCCAGTTCTTCTATGGCCCTGACCACTGCCTCCGCTGTTCGAATTGATCGACGATGATCTCGAGTGTGAGCGGTAGTTGGAGGGTGGAGGCATCAACTCGGAAGCATTGGTGTTTGTATTGCTTCCTCCACTGTTGTTGCCACCGCTATTTTTAGATGGATAGCTATATTGCTGTGTCATCTGCTGCGCTTGCATAATCTGCTTCTGTTGCAATTGCACCTGTTCCAACTGGCGCTGGAGATTATATTGCTCCACCATGAGTGTGGTCAACTCACTTGGCGAACGTCTATGTGCAATATGTAAGTTTCTTGGTTTCTTGGACCCAGCTCCCCCGCTAGACCCCGGGTTACTTAAGTTATCTGAACTATTGCTATGGCTTTCACTGCTATTATCAGCACTCATTTTTTTGCTTATCTTCCGCTTTCTATCAACTTAATTGACTGCGTGTCGTATTAATAATTATTCTCTCCTCGTAAGCAAAATACTTGAATTTCCAACAAGTACTACTATGTATCTTCTATAATCTAATATCAACCTCTTACCTTCAAGTATCTTCAATTGATGTACTCAAATATAAACAATTGCAAAAAAGTCTTATTATTGTTTGCCGCTACTTTTTTATCAAAGGATTGGACGTGTCCCTAAATAAGTCCACTCAATACTGTATTAATTCTATAATGAAAGTAATCAATGCAATATATCACTGGTATCAATTATATAATAATAATCTTCCAATTGCTGGTAATTATAATAATTACTAAAAGACAATTGCTATCAATTTTGAAGGAATTAAGGAGTTAACAGGTTTTATATAAAATTTTTGTAGATAAATCCTTAAGAGCGGTCACACTGCGAAACTGCGCACAAAATGGGTCCAGAATCATATTTACTAACCTTTACACATATACATTTTCCACGTACTACAAAGTGGATAATAGAGGATTCGATGAGTATGTAGTAGACGCAATCAAGGGAAGTATAATATTATTTACGGAAAAGGCTGAAAATGGCAAGCAATAAAGACACATTACGTGCGTAAATACTTATAATTGCATTGTAATGAGCAGAGACGCATGTAGCAGTAGATACACATTTGCATAAGAGGCCAATTGTATTAAATAGGTAGCACTATATACTAAATGAGACCAATTCACACTCAAGAGTGGTAAGGTCTAATAAGACGATTTGGCCAGTCTGCGAAAAATTAGGGATACTGATTAAAGTAATTTGAGCGGTTTCGTGGTTATCGTGGTCTTTTTGTAAGTTGATGGTTTTTGTATGGTACAGCTTTTGATTTCCGACGAAATAGACGTGGGGGGTTTCATCTGCAAGGGTGAAGGGGTCAGAGTTATCAAACGGGTAGCAGTAGAGGGTATCTGGGGCTGTAGGAATGATATTCTGCCACTTGATGTTTGATTCCATGATAGTGAGAGCGACTTGGGGATCGGCGAGGGTTTCGGCAGTTAAATACTTCAAGATATCGCTAATGTTCTGACCCGATGTTCCCAAGAGACGTAAGCCAGTTTCTTGGACTTCCATCCACGTCGGATTGGTGAGGGATTGTAGAGTAGATCCTCCCACGTACCGTTTGTTGGACTGAAAAATCGACTTGTGAAGTGGCTGCTGGGGTAAGCATACTTCCGCTGGATCGTTGTTACCGGGCATTATTGATATTGGCACCGACGGCAACAAATCAGTTATGAATTTGTCCAAGCTCTTCAACGAATCCGTATTGAACTTGGAGATATTTTTAGATCCATAATTATTAGTGGTGAAGAAGTCGTCGTCTACAGTCTCGTCGATTGGGGCAATTGAGTCTCCAGCTATGACCAAGCGTGATATATGCGATGCCGCTTGAGTGTCCGCGTTGCATCCTAACTCACCCGTTAGATATTGCTTCAATAACTCTATCTTCATATCGTGATTGGCTTCATCACATAAATTAAGTCCCGATACAAACGCAATCTTACTGTTTTCTTTTTGGGGGATCCTAAGAGGTTTTTGTGGTGATATCGACGGATATACAACGTCCATTATCTCAAAGATACCAGCTTGGATCTCAATTCCTAATACTGCAACAATGCATCCGGTCACTAAAATATTCTTCTTTAAGAAATCGTCGTTGTTTAAAATAGCTCTACCTGACTCATCTTCCAACATGACAACGGGCATTTCTTTTGCTTCTGATAATGTGTATGTTTCAGGAACCTTTGGTAAAACGTCATCCACCCCGTTTTCAACATCTTGCAAAATATTCAATTTGTTTTTCATATCTGAAAATATAGTACCACTTACCCAGCATAACTGCCCACTAGATATATCCAATATTTTATCTCTTTTAGTTACAGTTTGTCCGTTGACTTTCTTGGTCCCATCACCCCATTTTTTTAACGCATTATTGTCCACACTTTGCTTTAAAATCGACAATCTATATTGATACATAGAATAAAACTGTTTGTCATATTTACGTTCTTTAGTCTTTAGATCATAATCGTTTTGCTTCTCAAATTCTTCCAGAAGTTCAGCATGAGCTCTATCTACTATGTCTCCAGAAACATCTATATCATTATTGATATACTTTTGGAATGACATCTGTACAGTAGTTTATAATATCATTAGGAATAAACTCAGTTTTTTTTTTTTTGGTGTATTTAAGTACGCGTTATATCTTGATCTACAACAAATTTTATTTAATTTACCATTTACATTAAAATACATAATAAAAGAAGCTATATCAAGATGGTGTGTAGAACTATATAAAAGATGCAGAAAATTACCAAAAGCTGTTATCAACTTAGGCTCTCTTTTGCTTTTTATGCTTTTTCTCTATAGATTTACCACTGGCACCAATAGTAATATTAACTTTGGGAGGAACATCAAAACCAAAAGATTTTGCTACCTTCACTAAATCTAACTTATCAATTTGATACACTGTCTTCAAGTGATGTGATGCATAAGCCTGTAAATATGATCTATAACCATCCTTAGCAGATTGGTGTAACCAGTAATTACCTTTAATTAACTTGGTTAATTGAGATTGGACATTAGCGATCTTGTTGGTTGGGAATTCGTATTCATTTAATGGAACATTAGCTGCCTTCAAGTATCTCAAGAAACCTAATTCAGATGGTGTTAAGAACATCAATGATTTACCCTTACCAGCAGTACCTCTGGCAGTTCTACCAACTCTGTGGATATAGTCTCTTGGATCATCAGGTGGATCGAATTGGATAATCCAGTCAACAGCTGGGATATCTAAACCTCTAGCGGCCACATCCGTACATATTAAAATACCCTGTTTGGCATTACAGAATTCGAAGAAAGTGTTGGTACGCTTCTGCTGCTTTTGTTTACCATGCAAATCCAATACTGGTAAATCGATATAATTCAATAATTCACCGAAATATTTCACACAGTTACAAGAAGAAAGGAACACAATAATCTTCTTTTTCACGTTTCTTTTCAAAAATGAAAATAATAATAAGAATCTTTTGTCAGATTCACATACAACATAACCTTGTTCTAAACCAGCTACAGTAGACGCTTCCGATTCCGAAGCAACATTAATGTATAATGGGCCTGGTCTTAATGAAATTCTGGCTAAATCTTCAACCTTTGTAGTTTGAGTTGCCGAGAATAACATCGATTGTCTATCTTCGTTTGGCAAAATTTTGATAATCTGCTTCATTTCTTCCTCGAAACCTATTTCTAAAATTCTATCTGCTTCATCAATAACTAATGCCTTTACATTCTTGAAAACGAAACCTTGGGTGTTTTGCAAGTGATCTAATAATCTTCCTGGAGTGGCAATTAACAAGTTAACACCCTTCATCAACTTTTCTGCCTCCTGTCTTCTATTGGCACCCCCAATAACAATACCGAATGTTTGACTATGGTGGGCCATTAATTCTCTAGCAACACCAAAAATTTGTAATGCTAATTCTCTGGTTGGCGACACAACAACGACACCAGTTCCGTTTCTAGGCTTGAATCTTAAAGAATACAACATTTCGATGGCTGGAATCAAAAACGCCAATGTCTTACCTGAACCGGTTTTGGCTGCTCCTAACACATCACGGCCCGCCAATAACGGTGGGATGGTCTTGGCTTGAACCTGTGTCATTTTACTGAATCCCATATCCTTGATTGCCCTTAATGTAGGTTCGGATAACCCAGCTTCTTCGAAGTTATCCGTCACTATATCATCGTGATTAGATTCTGCTGTTGGTTTAGTCAATTCTCTGGTTCTTTCTTCCTCCTGGATCTTTTTTTCCTTTCTCTTATCTTTCTTAGCTTCTGGATCTCTAACGTCATCTCCTAATAATTCTGCTACCTCGTCGAAGTCGTCATCTAACTCTTCAACTAATTTTTCGTTATCTGATTCTGAAGAATCAGAAGATTCTTCTTCATGCTCTCTTTTTCTAGATTCAACCTTCTTGGATGGTTGAACCTTTGTTGATTTAGGAGATCTTCCAGTTTTTAACTTAGAACTCACTGCCATGGTCTCTTGTATGAATACTATCTATCAAAAAATGTTCTACCACTGTTAAAGGAATTTTTTCAGTCTCATCTCATCGTTAACAAAAATATTTCTTCTATATAAAATTTTGTGTCACGTGCAATATCAATAGCGGGTTTGGAATATTAGTCAATATCAGCCTAGGAATAGTTAAGTCTTACTTTATAAACTATTGGCATTATCAGGGAATTTACTAGCATATAGACATACAATGGCTTCGTATTCTGTTAATTCTACTAAATCTTTCATGCAGGCGATGCAGCCTATGATAGAAATGTTAAATTCTTTGCCGCTTCCATCTAATGAAAAGATACCTAGGATAGATAATGAGAACAATAAAATCACACCGGTCGATAATATCTTAGATAGATTCCATGGTATTTCTACGGATGTATTAGAGCATATAGTGGATGCTAGCCAAGGTGGTAATAATAATGCTGTCAAAGGAATTGAGGAAGATTGCGCAAGGATAAGTAAGGATCGAGGTGAACACCCTAACGAAGTGTTTGATATGGTGAAAAATCTTTTGGCTTCGAATCCTGGAGATGAGGAGTTACAATCGTCTTTGTTTGATATTCTAGGGTTTGAAGAGTTTGAATTGATATCCAAAATTGTGCAGAACAAGTCTCAATTAGTAGCATCTGACGGAACTAGCGATGGGAATGAACAAAGATTTTTGACACCGGAAGAGAGAGCGCAACAGCTAATTGAAAACCATGAACGTGCTAAGAATCAGAAACTAGGCCCTAAGCAACTTCGTCAAGAATATCCGCATGTTTTTAAGAAGCCCGATGTAGGTAATATGTTGTCAATAACGGGTAAAAAGTTTGCATTGCCTGTTGGTACAACCAGAGACAGTTATGCCACCCATGAAGAAATTGTCATTCCGTATCCAGAAAATGAATCAAACAAGTGGATATCCGATGATAAGCTTGTCCAAATTGACCAATTGGACTTCCTTTGTAAAGGCACTTTCAATAATTATTCTAACCTTAACAAGATGCAAAGTTTGGTGTTTCCAGTAGCATATAATACTAATGAAAACATGCTTGTCTGTGCTCCAACAGGTGCTGGTAAGACTGACGTAGCCTTGTTGACCATTTTGCATGCCGTTAATAAATTCGTTACTGAAACAGTAGGCGAAGATGGTGATATTACCGTAGATATTGATTACGATGAATTTAAAATCATTTATGTTGCCCCATTGAAGGCATTAGCTGCCGAAATTGTTGATAAATTTAGCAAAAAGCTTCAATGGCTTGGAATTAGTGTCCGAGAATTAACAGGTGATATGCAATTGTCAAGACTGGAAATTATGACTACACAAGTTATTGTTACTACTCCCGAAAAGTGGGACGTTGTTACCAGAAAACTGAATGGTGACAATGAATTAGTTGCGAAGGTTAAGTTACTTATCATCGATGAAGTACATTTATTACATGAAGATAGAGGATCTGTCATTGAAACATTAGTAGCACGTACGTTAAGGCAAGTTGAAAGTACGCAACTGATGATCAGAGTAGTTGGTCTTTCGGCTACTTTGCCGAATTACAAAGATGTTGCTGATTTTTTAGGTGTTAATAGATCTATTGGTATGTTTTACTTTGATCAATCATTTAGACCATGTCCCTTACAGCAACAATTATTGGGTGTTCGTGGTAAGTCTGGCTCCAAAATAGCTAGAGAGAATATCGATAAAATATCATATGAAAAGTTAATTCAATATATTGACCAAGGGCTTCAGGTTATGGTGTTTGTCCATTCTCGTAAGGATACTGTTAAAACTTCACGTACATTTATTTCAATGGCACAATCTTTTAATGAACTTGGACTGTTTGATGCATCACAAACTTGTGAATCTTATGATAGGTTCAGTAGAGAAATGTCCAACAAGAATAGAAATAGAGATATGAAGGAATTATTTCAATATGGGTTTGGGGTTCATCATGCTGGTATGTTGAGATCTGACCGTAACCTTACTGAAAAAATGTTCACTAGTGGTGCTATCAAGGTGCTTTGTTGTACTTCTACTTTGGCTTGGGGTGTAAATTTACCTGCAGCTGTAGTCATTGTTAAGGGTACACAAGTTTACGATTCAAAGCAAGGTGGTTTTATTGACTTAGGAATTTCTGATGTAATCCAAATTTTTGGTCGTGCTGGTAGACCTCAATTTGAAAAGTTCGGTACTGGTATTTTATGTACTACAAGTGATAGATTAGACCACTATGTTTCATTGATTACTCAACAGCATCCTATAGAATCTAGATTAAGTGACAAATTGATCGATAACTTAAATGCCGAAATTTCATTGGGAAGTGTTACCAATGTTGAAGAGGGCGTTCAATGGTTGGGTTATACATATATGATGGTTCGTATGCGCCAAAATCCATTTGCTTATGGTATCGAATGGAAGGAATTACAAGAAGATCCGTTATTACACAATAGGCGGCGTTCAATGATAACATCTGCAGCTAGAAGACTTCACGAATTGCAAATGATTATATTTGACGAAAATTCAGGTGCATTGAATTCCAAGGACTTAGGAAGAATTGCATCTGACTTTTACTTATTGAACAATTCAGTTGAAATTTTTAACCAAATGATTAATCCTAAGGCAACAGAAGCTGATATTCTTTCAATGATAAGTATGAGTAGCGAGTTTGACAGTATAAAATTAAGAGAAGAGGAAGTTGAAGAATTAAAAAAATTGTCAGAAACTGACGTTCCTTGTCAAATTGGTGGAGATATTGAGTCAGCTCACGGAAAGACAAATATATTGATTCAATCATACGTTTCTCAAGCTACTATAAAAGACTCTGCTTTAATATCCGACTGTAATTATGTGGCTCAGAATTCTGCAAGAATTTGTAGGGCCTTGTTTTTGATTGGCATGAATAGGAGATGGGGAAGTTTTGCAAAAATTATGTTATCCATTTGTAAGTCTATTGATAAGAGAATATGGGCGTTTGATCACCCATTAACTCAATTCGATCTTCCAGAACATGTTTTGAAAAATATTCGATCTAAGAATCCTTCTATGGATGTATTGAAAGATATGGAAGCTGGAGAATTAGGTGATTTGGTCCATAATAATAAAGTAGGTGGTATTCTTTATAAGTTGATATCTAGATTTCCTTGCTTGGAAATTGAATCAGAAATCTTTCCAATTACAGCTAATGTCATGCGTATTCATATAAACTTAGAGCCTGACTTTGTGTGGGACGAAAGATATCATGGTAATGCTCAAATGTTTTGGATTACTGTTGAAGAATCCGATAATTCAGATATCTTACACGTTGAAAAGTTTATTTTGAATAAAAGACAAATGAAGAGTCCCCATGAAATGGATTTCATGATACCGTTGACAGATCCGTTACCTCCTCAAATAGTGGTTAGAATTATTTCTGACTCTTGGATAGGTTCCGAGACTGTCCATACTATTTCATTTCAACATCTTATAAGACCTTCTAATGAAAGCATAAGAACTGATTTGTTAAGGTTGCAGCCTTTGCCGATTACTGCGTTGCACAATCCTGAAATTGAAGCTGTATACTCGAGCAAGTTCCGTTACTTTAATCCAATGCAAACTATGACATTTCATTCTTTATATAATACTAATGATAGTATCTTTGTTGGTTCTCCTACTGGTTCTGGTAAAACCGTTGTTGCTGAACTTGCAATTTGGCATGCCTTTAGAGATTTTCCCGGCACAAAAGTTGTTTATATTGCACCAATGAAAGCTTTGGTTAGAGAAAGAGTTGATGATTGGAGAGCCAGAATTTCACGTAATACCAAGCACAAATTAGTTGAATTAACTGGTGACTCCTTACCTGAAGCAAAGGATGTGAGGGCGGCTGATATTATTATTACCACACCAGAAAAATTCGATGGTATTTCTCGTAATTGGCAAACTAGAAAATTTGTGCAACAAGTTTCCTTGGTTATTATGGATGAAATTCATTTATTAGCAAGTGATCGTGGTCCTATTTTAGAAATGATTGTTAGTCGTATGAACTATATTTCCTCTCAAACCAAGAAGCCAATTAGGCTTTTGGGTATGTCAACGGCTGTCTCTAATGCAATGGACATGGCGGATTGGTTATCTGTGAAAGATGGATTGTTTAACTTTCCGCAGTCTGTTCGTCCAGTCCCATTACAGATGTATATTGATGGTTTTCCAGATAATTTAGCATTTTGTCCATTAATGAAAACTATGAATAAACCAGCTTTCATGGCTATTAAGCAGCACTCGCCTAATAAGCCTGTACTTATTTTTGTTGCCTCTCGTCGTCAAACTCGTTTGACTGCTTTGGATCTTATTCATTTATGTGGTATGGAATCTAATCCTCGAAGATTCCTTAATATTAATGACATCGAATTACTGGAAATTTTGGAAGACGTTAAAGATGATACATTGAGGCTTTCATTACAATTTGGTATGGGTTTGCATCATGCTGGTTTAGTTGAATCGGACCGTCAAATTTCTCATAAACTATTTGAAGCCGGTAAAATCCAAATCTTGATAGCCACGTCTACCTTGGCCTGGGGTGTTAATTTACCTGCTCATTTAGTGATTATTAAAGGTACGCAATTCTTTGATGCGAAGATTGAAGCATACAGAGATATGGACTTAACTGATATCCTACAAATGATGGGTCGTGCAGGTCGTCCATCATTCGATACAAGTGGTACTGCTATAGTATATACTAAAGAGTCTAAGAAGGTTTTTTACAAGCACTTTTTGAATCTTGGCTTCCCTGTGGAATCATCCTTGCATAAAGTTTTGGATAACCATATTGGTGCAGAAATCTCTGCTGGAACTATTACTACTAGACAAGAAGCTATGGACTTCTTAACATGGACTTTTTTATACAGGAGAGCACATAATAATCCAACTTATTACGGAATTGAAGACGTTAGTATGTATGGAATCTCCAAGTATTTGGCTGGGTTAATTGATCAAACGATAGAAAACCTAATGGAATCGAAGTGTGTAATAATCACGGGTAAGGATAAACTTGTTGCAACTCCATTCTTGCATATTTCATCTTATTATTATCTTTCGCATAAAACTATAAGGAACTTAGTTAATAAAATTTTCAAAGAGGCAACATTCAGAGATTGTTTGAGATGGTTGTGTGAAGCTACTGAGTATGATGAATTAGCTACACGTCATGGTGAAGAGTTGATAAACATGGAAATGTCTCAAGCTATGAGATATCCGGCTGAGGATTTAGAATGTGAATTTATTTGGGATCCACATGTGAAATCGTATTTATTGATTCAAGCCTTTATTAGTCGGGTTGAACTTCCAATTGCAGATTATGCCCAAGATACGGTTTCTATATTGGATCAGGCATTACGTATTTTGCAGGCCTATATTGATGCAGCTTCTGAATTGGGATATTTGAAAACAGTTTTAACATTCATTGAGTTAATGCAATGTATTAAGCAAAGGTATTGGTATGATAACGACCCAGTCTCCGCGTTGCCAGGTTTAAATTTATTCAAGCTTCCAGATAGTAATCACTCTGAAGGTTCAAAGAAGAGTAAGCATGTGATGCAATTATCTGATATTGGAAAGATGAACAGTGGAAAATTGTCACATTTTGCTTCAAGCCTTGGAGTTAAAGGAACCCGAGGTGATGACGGAACGTTTACAAGTGATGAAGATGCAAAGAATGAATTTGTCCGTATTGCATCTCATCTTCCAACTGGTAAAGTTAACATATTCCAAGAAGTGTCAGATCAATTACATTTCGAATTGATTCACGATAATAGACCCCTTAATAATGATTTTAAGATGTATTGTCCACACTTCCCCAAACCACAAAGGGAATCGTGGTTTGTTATTTTGTGTGATGAATCAATGGATGAATTACTCTTGATCAAAAGGGCATCACCAAAATTGATTGGCAAGAAGGGAAAAGTAAGCTGTATTCTCGACATCCCAGAAGACCTTAAGGGACGCGTTGTTACTGTTTTATGTGTCAATGATGCAATTAACATTCAATACTCGGCTAAACAAGAACTTATATAAGGTAGTGAATAGCGATTTCTTACGTTTGTCTATGCATGAATATTAATATATGATTGTTAAATTATAAAAATGCAGAATTATTGTAATCACTAATGTACAGTCTATATAAACAATTGCTTTATTCAAAGAAGTCGTCTTCCTTTTCTTCTTCATCATTATCTTTCTTTCTTGGCGCATCGATCTCTTCTGTCAAAACGGCATGATTCTGGGTGTCGTCTAATCTTATAGTTTTACCTTGTAAGACATCATCGATGGAAAATGGTAACTTGTTCTCGTCAAGGAGACGCTCAGCTTGCTTCCTAAGTTCTCTCTTTCTTTCCTCGGTCATTTGCATCCCCTTCTTCGCCTTAGGGTTCTTCGACAATTCTGTTTTGTCATCCTCTTTAGGGTTAGGATATAATGAGATATATTTTTCAGTTTTTGGGAACAACATAACGTACACAATATCAACCTCGCTATGTCTGACAACCTTTCTGGCCTTCTTAATATCCTTTCTGATCTCCGTACTAGCTGTGTCCTCAAGGGTTTTCCTGGCTTGCTTCAATTTTCTAATGGCCTTCTTCTTCTCGAAGAAACGAACCATATGATATTTTTTAGCATTTTGTTTAGCCTTCAAATTATGTTGTGTATTCTGTAATTCCACACCTAATGCCTTCAATGCTCTTTCGTTTTCAATTCTTACATGGGCTGGTAATGTATCTTTTTTCAATAATCTTTCTATATCTCTCATCTTCTTTCTAATCTTCGATGCACCCGTTCCTATCACTCCAGCAACTTCTATAGAAGCTCCATTGGATCTCCTATTGTTATCTCTTGCAGTCCTTGGCATTATGTGGTCTATTCTTCAACTAACTAGTCTCCTACGAGTATTCCAACCGTATATAAGATTAAATCTATCTTGCGATGGGTACTAATTTTTTTTTCCATTGCGACTTGAAAAATTATTCTGTATATTGAAAGCTTTGGATTCACAAAATTTTAAGGTGGAAGAATATAGGACCATTAATATTCGATAAAACGAATAGAATAAATTGATTGAAAGAAGCAATGGGTATTTTAGAAAAGATAGCACTGATTCAGGAAGAATTAGCTAGAACCCAGAAAAATAAGGCTACAGAATATCACGTTGGTTTATTGAAGGGGAAATTAGCAAGATTTCGTCGTGAATTATTAGAACCACAACCAGGACAAGGATCCTCGGGGGGAGGACAAGGTTTTGAAGTTTCCAAAGCGGGAGATGCTCGTGTTTCATTAATTGGGTTTCCATCTGTTGGTAAATCGTCGTTTTTGTCTAAGGTGACCAATACCAAGTCAGAAGCAGCTAACTACGAGTTTACTACATTAACATCAGTAGGAGGTATTCTTGAATATAACGGAGCAGAGGTGCAGATTGTGGATTTGCCAGGGATTATAAAGGCGGCATCACAAGGTAAAGGTAGAGGGAGACAGGTGATTGCGGTGTCGAGAACGTCAGACTTGATTATGATGGTGTTGGATGCAACCAAGGGTGGAAACCAAAGAGAAGTATTGGAGAACGAATTAGAATCTATGGGGATCAGGTTGAACAAGAGCAGGCCAAATATTTCCCTTAAGATCAAAAAGACCGGAGGGGTCAAGTTGAACTCGATCACCCCACCAAAGTACTTGAACGAGAAGATAGTAGCTGCATTGTTGAAAGATTATAAGATCCACAACGCAGACGTGCTAGTCAGAGACGAAAATGTCACCATCGACGACTTCATTGACATCATTAATGACCAACATATGTCGTATATTAAATGCTTATACGTTTACAACAAGATCGATGCCGTTTCGTTAGAAGAGTGCGATAGATTGGCCAGAGAGCCAAACACCGTAGTTATGTCGTGTGAATTGGAATTAGGTATTGAAGATTTAAAGGAGGAGATTTGGAGACAGTTGGGTCTCATAAGATTGTATACTAAAAGAAGAGGTATCCAACCTAAATTCGACGAACCTATGGTTGTTAGAGGCAACTCTACTATCCAACAAGTTTGTGATGCTATACATAGAGATATGAAAAACCAATTCAAATATGCCTTGGTTTGGGGTTCCAGCGCTAAACACTCGCCTCAGAAGTGTGGTATAAGTCATCCTATTAATGACGAAGATGTTATTCAAATAGTTACTAAATAATAGGTATATATAAATTTAATGCATTACGTTTACGCGCAAAATATGTATTTACATAAAATTTATTACAGATCAACAAGACGAATTTGCACCTTTTCCTGGAAATTGTATCATGGCAGATAAGTATACGGGCCTTCCTGGTATAGATATTGAATCTGCAGAGGTATTTGAAACATCTGACATAGATAGTGATGTCGATATCGACGCCTATACTGATGTAGATGCGTCAGAAAAAAATGCTGATATTGAAGAGCCAGAAATAGATTCAAGTGAAGCCAGAAGTAGATTCTCTAATGACGTGCTTGTTGGAGATATAAATATGGTGGACTTTCTGGGTAGTATTACCAACTCCAGTCTTACAAGAACAGGGTACCAAGTGAACCAAGTGGATGAAACAGTGGACCAAAGACTTTCAAGAATCGCGAGAGAACTAGAGGAAATCAAAATCTTGCAGCTGAATGATTCATCGAATACAAAAACGTCTGATTGTAATAAGCTAGTGCAGACTTTGGAAAGCTTGGCTAAAGAACCACTACTGTCACCGGTTAATGATCTAAATCAATATAATCATAGGATTAAGCAAGTTTTTGACGAGGCATCCGCCAGACTCGAAACCACCGGTACTGATGGCCTTAAGACACTTCAAAAACCTCCATTGGTTGATACTTCCCAAGTATTGGCATTGGAGTCCAGATTAAATGCCATTGAGTCGGTTTTAGGCCCAGATGGAACCACAAACATCCAATCACAGGCAGAATCCAAGCCTACAATCCAGAACTGGCTCAACGAATTGACCCGCAAATTAAACGTAGTCCACAACCCCGAGTACCAGTTAGACACCGTTAAAAAAGAAGTGGCTCTGTTAACCAAGCAAATCGAGACGCTAGCTTCACATAAGAGGTTCCTTGACTTATCGCACCTGGCTCCTACCAACCCTCCACCCCAACCAGATTCCAGCCATAAGCAGATAAATTCAAAAATTGAAGATCTACACGAAAAATTACCCTTTTTCAATCACGTCAATGCTACAGTCCCATTGATTGTTACAAGGTTAAAAAGCTTACACACCGTCCATGCTGATCTAGCCAACACAGTTCAAACGGTTCACGAATTGGATCTGATTCTCAATGATATCAAAAGTGACATGAAAAAATGGAACGATTCTATCGACGTCGTAAATGCAAACATAGACGATCATGACAAACAGTACCAATCTAACAAAGAACACATTAATCTGCTTTTAAAAGATCTCAATGATAAAGTATCTAGCATGAGCCAGTAAAGTAGAGGAAAGAATTCATATTGCTCGCTTAGAATTTCACTTTCCCGAAAAAAAATGTGCTCGCTATAAAATGCCTTTAGAATATGTCATGAGGAAGCTTGAAGGTCATAACGACAATACGGAGCCCCAGTATATAAGTAGACCAAATCGCCCTCAATTGACAAAACATTTAGTTTTCTTGAATTGAATAAGTTCATAAGATAGCTAAAATATGTTGAGAGCTGGATATCGTACAGCAGTTCACTCTGCAACTAAACTTACCCCAAGATTAGGACATGAGATCAGGTTGATAAGCAAACAAAAAGTCAGATGGGCATCACAAATTGCACACCCAAAAGTGCCACCACATATTGGAAATGAGGGAGTCAAGGAGTTTTCGTTCAATCATCAAAAGGATTGGGACTTACTTAGGGCTTCAATTACCAAATTTACCGATAACGGAGCATTGAAGATTCCATTGGTGATTAATGGAGAAAAAATCTACAATTCTAACGAAATGGCACAGTTGAACCCAGCCAGACATTCACAGACGTTGGCGAAAGTATCACAGGCTGGTGAAAAGGAGATTCAACAGGCTATTGAGGCTGCAAAGCAAGCAAAGGCCAAGTGGGGTGCGACCCCATGGACTGATAGAGCTGCGATCTTCTTGAAGGCGGCCGATTTGATTTCCACAAAGTATAGATACGATATGTTAGCTGCAACCATGTTGGGACAAGGGAAGAACGTGCACCAAGCTGAAATTGACAGTGTGGCCGAATTAATCGATTTTTTCAGATTCAACGTCAAGTACGCCGAAGAGATGTATGGTCAACAGCCTGTCGCATCAGCCCCAGGTGTCTGGAACCGTGCTGAGTACAGACCATTAGAAGGTTTTGTATATGCAGTTACACCATTCAACTTCACTGCCATTGCTGGTAATTTGGTAGGTGCTCCTGCCTTGATGGGTAATACTGTCGTTTGGAAACCCTCCGCTACTGCTGCGTTATCAAATTACTTGTTGTTAAATATTTTGGAAGAGGCTGGATTACCTAAAGGTGTTATTAACTTCATTCCAGGTGAGCCAAATCAAGTCACTGATTTAGTCTTGAACGATAAAGATTTTTCAGCGTTACACTTTACTGGTTCTACAGATGTATTCAAGAATTTGTACGTCAAGATTTCTAATAATGTGGCTGAAGATAAATACCGTGACTTCCCAAGAATTGTGGGTGAAACCGGTGGTAAGAATTTCCACTTAGTCCATCCTTCTGCTTCTTTAGACCATGCAGTGTTGTCAACAATCAGAGGTGCTTTTGAATTTCAGGGACAAAAATGTTCTGCATTGTCAAGATTATACGTCTCAAAATCAATCTGGCCTGAATTTCAAGAAAGATTAGTTGCCTCTATGTCTAACATTACCGTCGGTAACTGCACAGACCCAAATACCTTGCAAAATTTCATGGGTCCTGTCATCCACGAGCAATCATTTGATAAATTGGCCGCTGCTATCGACCAAGCAAAAGCTGATCCTGAGTTAACTATTATTCAAGGTGGTAATTACGATAAATCAAAGGGTTTCTACATAGCACCAACATTAATTGAAACCACCAATCCAAACCACGAATTTTTGACTAGAGAATTCTTTGGTCCAATTGTCACAACCTATGTCTATCCTGATGCAGAATATGAATCAATTATGGACAAAATCGATAGTAGTACCAAATATGGCTTAACTGGTGCAGTATTTGCTAGAGACCGTGAAGCCATTAGATTGGCTGAAGAAAAGTTACGTTATTCTGCTGGTAATTTCTATGTTAATGACAAGTGCACAGGTGCCGTCGTTGGTCAACAGTGGTTCGGAGGTGCTAGAATGTCTGGAACTAACGATAAAGCTGGTAGTGGTAATATTTTAAACAGATTCGTATCGGTTAGAAATATTAAAGAAAACTTCTACGAGTTGACTGGATTTAAATATCCTTCAAATTATAATTAATCATCCCCATAAATATAATTCTCATTTCTTTTCAAAGATTTAAATGTATATTATTATAATCAATTAACGTAGGTGTGTAATTGTAGTTAAAGGGTTCATATTCACATTACCGTTTACCTCCCATATATGGGTTAGGTCCATAGGGTCCCCCTGGAGGCATAGGACGGTATTGGCCAGGCGGTGTCCCAGGAGGTTGCATTGGAGGACCGGACAATATTCTTCCAATCCCGTTGCAAACAGGACATAACTCGTCATCCAAAAAGAACGTTATTAAACCTGTTCCTCTACATCTCCCACATAATGTACCACCTATTCTTGGGTCACCGGGGTTAACTCGCATTGGAGGTAATGATGGGCCCGGTGCTGGCCCTGGTCCCGGTCCATAAGGAGCCATTGGACGCATGGTCGTAGTCTGTGTGATGGAAAATGGATTAAATGACAGCAGCGAAGATACTGGCTGATATGGATTTCTCGGACTATACCTCTCCCAACAATCCTGGCATGATCTGCCATTTTTCAACTTGTACCCTGTATTATTACACTTTTCACACATATATCTCTTCGGAAACTTGAAAGGTAGTTGGGGATTAGGGTTATATGCGTGGTTTTTCAAGTAAAACCTATCCCAGCACTCTCTACATACTTTCCCATTTTTGACCTTATACCCCGAATTTCTACACTTTTGACAAAGAAATCCCTTTGGATAGTGAAATGGTAGGCGATTGTTAGTGGTATATAACGAATTCGGATCTTGAGCAGGCCTTGGTGGTCGCTGCGGTGCAGATGGTGCAGATGGTGCCGATGGTGCCGGTGAGTTATGTGTTGAATGAGATGAACTTGAAGGTCTTGGTGGCTGGGGTGGTCTTAAAGATTCCGGCCGTGGTGGTTGAGGTGGTGGGGGGGTTGGTCTTGGGTAACTGCCGCTAGTTGATTCCTTTATTACTTCTTCGTATGATGGTGGAGGCTCTGCTGGATTTATATCGTCATCATGTGAATTCATAGCTGTAAATCTAGTGAATCAAAGACATTGAACTGGCAAACAATAGACCTAAGTAATGGTTTATATGCGACTCACGTGATTTTTATATTTAATGAATAATATCAACAGTATTCTGATAATAGAACAGGTGAAAAATACTTAATAGCACTTACTACGAATATAATAATATGATTTGGTTGTCTGAAAGACAAAGTATGTAACTTGTTCAAGCTGGTTTATGAATAAAAATAGTACTAACCGAAATAGAATTCGGTGTTGGATTCACTGCTGGAGGAATATTCTTCTTCTTATTTGGTATAATGGCATTTTTTGATTCAGCATTTTTGGCGTTGGGAAACATATTGTTTGTAATTGGGTTGATTTTAATCATTGGGCCACAACGTACAGTCACATTCTTTACTAGGCCTACTAAAATGAGAGGTACTTTATGTTTTTGCACGGGAATACTATTAATTTTGGCGAAGAGATCATTTATAGGTTTTATTATTGAGTGCTTTGGGATATTAGGTCTTTTCGGTGATTTCTTCGGGACCATAGTGCAATTCTTAAGATCTATTCCTTATATTGGTGATCTTTTAAGTCACCCTATGATTGCACCTACTATTGATAGAATGGCTGGTATTAATACGTTACCTGTTTAAAGTTGTTTCCTATAATATTGCGTATGCATATTGTATATTAGTTGGTGTCAGATATGATACTGTAGCTATTGTCTATAGCCTATTCGTAATTAGACTAATATTACCCAAATTAATCATTTGGTCAATAACTTTTATTGTGTAGTCAGCGAGTTTCAATCCAGAAAACAAATCTATATCTATAACTATCTTATCATTGATGCTGTTATTATTTCTCATCGTTATGTTAATTCGGGTGTGAGTGTGATGACGGTTGATTTGGTGCTGTATAGGGCCATATCCTGGAATTCCCAAGTGTCCTTTAAACTTAGGAAGCCATAGTATATAGCTTGGAGGTTTTCTAGAGATCTTCGTTCTCGAGTTCATGTACTCGGCATTCATCAAGCTTGAGTGTATCAAAAAGCCAGAATTATTCATTCGTTCGGGTTCTCCATCAGTATAATCTAAAGATATCACATCCTCAAGCGGCTCTGATGTTTTAATGCTATCAAGCAACTCGTTAATATTCAGGTTACTAGCAAGCGAAGTAAACACAACCTTATTTGTTGAGGACAATATAAATCGAAGTTTGTTCATAATAAGTATAGGATGATAAACAAGTCCCACTGTATTCGACTTAATATCCGATAATGATACCTGGATAACATCATTTTGGCTGTTTGGGGGAATATCCATATTTAGCGGCCGATTATTTGCAATCCTTCTTGAAATGTTTACCAGTTTCAATGCCAACATTCCAAATTCAGACAGTAGTAGGGTTCCAAATAGAAAATAATTGAAAACAAAATCATGGTTATCAAAATGTAAGTTATTTAAGGTGGTTACACCACACCATGGTTTTATATCGTGGTTGGTTTTATTTAAATTGATAGCATTTAATTCAACAACGATTATTTTCATAGATCTTCTTCTACTTCGATAATATAAAAATATCGAAAAAGCTATTAGATATGATGCAAAAGTAGACGTGTGAGAGATTACTAATACTACCATGCTATTATTACTCCCATTTATTGCTTCCTAATTATAGGTTTATCTCTTATATTTTTCATTCTTAAGAGTTAGATCACTGCATATAAAAATGGTTGATTTCACTTCATAGAATTCTAACATTGAAGTCCAAAGCAATAACGCAAAGAGTATTCACTAGTGAATTACTTCTTGTGGCACATTTAGGCTTGTATTAGTTGCATCTTTCTTTTTTTCGTTTTGTATTCTTTATTTTTCAGCATTTTCATTCACATATTTCAAAAGTAAAAATTGCAACCAAAAAAATTTATGTACGTCCTAATGTCATATCATATTACCGTTAACAACTGACATGTATTTGCTATATTATTACAATTAATCATAAGTTTATAGAATTAGCATGAAATTATATGTTTTGTAATATTTCTCTAAAAATTGGCATATTTCAGTTAATAATAAATTTAATCGTACTACAAAATAAGTAATCATTTTAGAAGAGAAAATATGAGAGCATACGCACACAAGGACATAGTTGAATAATAGAATATACTCTAAAATTTAACTAGTCATATTATCAATAGGAATAGGTCAAAAGGAATATTAATTACAATAATTATGTATTGCTATACAAAATTAGTCTGAACAGAAAACATCCGTGATAGTTTAGTGGCTAGAATTACCGTTTGTCGCATGGTAGACCGGGGTTCAATTCCCCGTCGCGGAGCACTTCTGGCGCAAATGGTTTAGTGGTAAAATCCAACGTTGCCATCGTTGGGCCCCCGGTTCGATTCCGGGTTTGCGCATTTTTTTTTCATTTGAGTTCATTCTAAATATTTAATTTTTTTATTTTAGGCATCACAGATGTCATAAGCTCAATTTACCATATAACTTAATTAACAATGTCTAAAATTAACAGACGGCAAGAGATCAAGAAAAAGGAAGACCTTCAAGCGAGATTTCAAGTAGCCATTTCACAAACTAATAGTAAGATATTGAATTGGTTACAACCCAATAATAATGAGATTGTACATGACGATAAAGAAAAGAACTCATTTTTGAATTTGCCAATTATACCACAAGGATCAGGGTTAAGTAATATTGAAAAATCGAACAGAAATATAGGAGACTTCATAAATTTTGATGAGACAAAGTTTAAGCAATTACAGGACGGAAATAACTCAAATGTTAGTTTACGAAAGACCAATTCTAAACCCATGATGGCATTAATGAATAAAATGAGGAACACCAATAGAGATAAGGCAAAGAAGAAAGCCTTCAACCAGAATATGCATACTTCCAAGCCTAATGTAAAAATACAAGATACAAACATAGACAATAGCGACAGTGACGAAGAAATGATAGCTAAGAATCGTTCGGTGAAAAAAGGCTCAAATCTATTATTCCAGTCCAAAATAAAGAAGAAACGGCCATTTTGATACTTTACGTAGAAACTGTGTTTCACCATGCATGCAATGTATAGAAGAATATCATTAAGTAATAATACATATATATAATAGATTATAGAAGAAAAGTATAATAATAATATACATTTTGTTCAGTCAAGTTTTTGTCTCTTCAGATCGGCTAGCGATTTCGAGTGTTGGTTTTCGTCATGGCTGTGAGTGTCGTCATGGTTTTGAGGATCATTATTACCATTAGAATGGGATTGAATGTCTTTCATCTCAGCATCTTCATTGGTGTCTTTCTCTTCATTGAGTTCGGCAATAACTTCCTTCACCTCTCTAAGACCAGCTTTTATATTGCTCTTGCTTGGTAACAAAACCTTTTCCTCAACTTGGTCATCGTCTAATAAGGAATGTATAGATACCTTTGTATTGGAAGACTTTGGGTTGTTAACGTCTACTGTTATTAAATCTTCATTAGTCAACAGTCTTGATAACGGTGAACTATTTGAAGATCTAATTTTCAGCGCAATCGGAACTCCATTGGTAGTTGGGATCGCTGTAGTCGATGATCTCTTGATAGGGGAACACACTTGAAGCACTTTTGGAGTTTTTAAAGGTGGTGTAGAATCCTTTGCATCAGCCTCTTGTTCTGCTCTGGAACGCGACAGCAGATTAATCGGTAATACCTCATGAGGTGCAATTGAAATAGAATTCTTGTTGGCGAAGATTGGATGTTGTGAAATTGAACCGAACGACGAAGTTCTATGAAACGAAGACGTTGAAGATAACGAGGAATTATTTGAAAATATCGAATTATGAGATGATTGCGAACCAATTGAGTCATGTTGCGGTTTTAAAATCGAGGCTTTGTTAGAAGAGCCAAAATGCAACTCAATTAATGAAGGTCTTAATTTCTCATGAATTGAATGTGATGGGAAGATGGAAGGTCTTTTAGCGGTCGTAGATGTTTCTGGAATTGAATTTGATTTAATTTTAATTGTAGACGCAGACGTGGAACTTGATGGAGATTCGTTCGAAGGCGCCTTTGGTAGATTCGAACTTGTAACTGTGGACGCATAGGAATTTGTGTCAGACGCCATGGAAAATGGAGAGTTTGAATTATTGGAATAAAAAGATGGATTATGAATTGAAGAAGGAGGTGGCAATTTTATGGAAAGCCTATTATCTGGATCTTTCAAATGTGTGAAAGAATCCCTGGAGTTGCCAAACGAATCTCTGGCGCTACTAAACGAATCCCTGGTGCTCGAAATTGAATCTTTTGCACTCGCAAGCGATTCCCTGCCACTAGCGATCGAGTCTCTATTACTAACAAACGAGTCCCTCGTGCTCGTGATCGACTCTCTCGCGCTCGCATATGATGAACGTGAATCCGACCTAGACAACAAATAGGAGAAGCTTGACTGCGGTTGTTGTTCCGCATTTTGCGATTGATGTAATGGTTGCAATTGAGACGTTACCGGAACCGGGGCCAAAGGGTCGAATAATAGTGACGGATTACGCGGTCTCGAATGCAGATTGTCATTTTCCCAAATTTTCCTGAATTGTAGATTGGGAGTATAATGTTGAGGTTGTTGCGAGTCGTGTGTGTCAGGCTGAGAATAAGATGGTTTAGTGGCGTCTTGTAGTGGTGGTTGCAGCTGTGCCTGGGATATTGGTGGTTGAGGAATATGTGTCACAGGATGGGGTTTCGGTGCCTGGGGTACTTGGTGTTGCGAGCTTGGTTGAGATTGCGGTGATATGGATCTCTGGATGTCTGGCATTTTCGGCTTCTCCAATACATTTTCTTGTGAATAAGCATGCGGAATTGAGGATGGCATGGGCTTTTGGGTATAGTACATTTGGGGGTGCTTTGATTGATGCTGTGGAGCGGGAACACCTCCCGAAGGGAATTGCATATGTGGTGACATATGATGGGTTACCTGGTGGCCATTATAGAAGTAATAGCCCTGTGGCAAATAAGGATGGCCACCCTCCTGAATGAACTGAGCATGTTCCGGGGACGGCGTTGATGTTGGAATCACGACATTGGCATCGTTCTCGTTGTTATACACATTTCTCGAGTTATTGGATGACGATCTTCTCTTTATGTACACGAGCGAACTCTCATCATTCTTCTTGAATTTGCCACTTGAATGCTTGAACTCCCAAACCGGTAATTCTGCATCGGCGCTAGTGGTATTAACGTTCGCATGGCTTGGATCTGATACCTTGTGGAACCCATACATGTGCAACTGTCTCACGAAACTGGCCACATTCCCATGCTTGAAGTACCTGGTGAGGGCCTTCGCAAAGTCCTTACCAGGACTGAGCGCAAACGTATTGCTGTCCTCATCCCTCGTCCACCAGATAAGGTTCGAGAGCTCCGGGTCATTCAACATCGAATAAAGTTTATGAACAAAGGCATTCTTCTTAATAGGGGTCTCTTGCCGTTTACTCATTTTTCATAATAGTCCTGTCTGACCTCTTTGAGCAAAAACTCCGACAAAATTTGATTATTACTGGTCACTATCTTAAAAACTTATAATATGACTCTTATGTTGAATTATAAGTTATGATATGCCATATAATTGACTTTTTTCCAATATAAGTTGGTTTACCCGACAATATTTGTACGAATCGTAGGCGTCAGCTTTAAACTTTTCTATATCAATTAAACAGCTCACCTAAATGTTCTCTGTCGCTTTATTTATCCAAGCTAAATTATCTATCTAATATCGGTATTTTTGCTTAGCCGCCGATAATATTAACACTTCCACAGGAAAAGATTTTACGTTGTATATATATTCTGTAAATTATTTTTGAATGCAATGCGACTTATGTCACAAAGTCAACTTAACCAAGCGAAAATTTTTACCAATGTCGTACGAAAGACTACTACATGAATTCTGGGGATTACTTAACGGATTAGCCTGTGCATAGTATAACCCACACTGTACATGCACTGGCAACCTATGCACACTCCATCGACGATATTTTGGCTGATTTTTTGATGTATGCGAAAAATGCCCTCCGTCTTGGTTGGGCCCACCGTGCGACTTACGGAATACCATCCAACCGATTATAGGAAGAATACACGAATACGGGGCACAGAGTACGCATTGGGTTGTGTGTCGATGGGTGATTGCGCTGCAAGCGACCTACACTTAGTGACCTTCGGTCACTTTCGAAGCGTCGATGCAAGATTGCCACTCATTCACTGGCATACAGTGTTTGAACGTTTGGCATGGTTAACCTTCACCATCAGGTGGTTCATCCAACGTTCGGTAAACCTGTGCATGGTGCAGTACCCTTCCGACCACCAAATCCGGGACAAATCAGACCACTTTTTTTTGAGCTCGATAGGCGATGGAAGGGCGATACAGGAGACATATTGGAGGATTATGAGCTGCCATCTGAAGGACTAGAAATGGGGACACCGATGTAAAATAGACCTGCGTGTCCGTTATAGGCCAAAATCTGCGATGGCATAAAGGGGGGGAGACACAAAAATGATGTAACGGTTGGACAATGCCGCACACACCGCGAACTAGATGCAAGTGCGAGTACCCTTGCACCGGGGCTAGTTACATAATACGTAGTGGCGTAGGGAAGTTGGGGTTGGGCTTGTGTAAAGCACATAGTAGGAACGCATTCAGCCGAGGGACGTGTAATCTACCCAATAACAGACAGCTTGTGTCGGCTGCAAATTGACAGAGGTGCGCGACGTACCTCATTGGGTCACTATTGTTTACATGGCCTCAACGGTCCCACGGTGGTATTTTTCGCTTGTTGACAATCGTTGGGCTACCATGTCAGGACACAAAAGCGGCGCAGGTAACTCGTAATTGAAGCGCAGAATGTCTCACATTGGAGCCTGGGCGGTCCGCTGTCGGAGAGATGGGCTTGAAAAGGTGGAGGGGATTTTCACCATCAACGAACTGTAAATAGTTTATTATAATAATGATCTACCGTGTTAAGAAACCTCCCGAATGTTAACAAGGCGCGATGGCTTCCGAGTTTAGAGTTTAATTAAGTGTAATGTCGGGCAGATGACGGGCAGTGATTGAAGTCTCCGTTGTGCTGCCTGCATACGATGAACTGAGCCTTTTTCCCTTGATAGGCAACATATGTAGACGAGAATCCGCAAACGGACAGTATGATGCAGATGCCATCCACCAAGTTCGCCGAGTAATGCACGTCGGCCAGATGTACGGGAATGTAAACAAGAGTTTGGGATAATGGTAGGGCTTACACTCGACGTTCACCAAATTGTAGCCTGGTATGTACATCTGAGGTAGGGCTATCCGATAAAGGTAACATCCTAACCCAAAACTGCAACATTATACCCTCTGTGTAGCACTGTCTAAAACACAACGCTTCAAAAATCACAACAATCTACAATTGTAACAATAGATAATA